CCTCCTGAGGAGCCAATATAAACCAGGAGTGCTAAAGCAGAGACATGGAAAACATGGGGGACATTGTGCCCTGAGAACCAGGGTTGGGACACACTGGCCTATAACCCCGGTTAAGCGTCAGCGGCTCAGAACGGCAGCGGAACGTCACTGCTTCAGATAGAACCCATTATAGTCCATGGACTGTTTCAAACCCGCAGCGAAGCAGCAATTTCCAGACTCGTCCCAGAAGTGGCACGCCGCGCCGCTAAAGATGGGATCGGGTTAACATAGGGTTAGAAAGGAAATCACACACTGTTTCAGTGCAAAATCCCCTGTAATTTTCAGAATAAAATTACTGCAGCGATGCAGTTTCATATTTATGAAGCTTACGTGTGAACCAACGGCTTATTTACTCACAGCATCGTTCCAGAAGTGCAGTGAAGTGCTTTTCATGGCTTAAGCCTAGGACTGTGAACGTAATGTATTCACAGCTATGGATGGATATCCGTCAATGGGCAGTCTGCCATACAGCGTAGAAGCAATTACATCCTTTTTCAAAATAAATGAAATAAGTACCTCTATCTGCTCATGCCTTAAAGAGAAGCTCAAGTGTAAATAGTTTAAAGTTGACGCCAAAGCCGTTTTCAATGTGAGTCCCACTCAGTCTGTCGCAGTTGTGCCCTTGAGCAAGACACTTAACACAAGTTGCCGGCTGGTGGTGGACAGAGGGCCGATGGCACCAGTGTTCACCAGCCTCGCTTCGGTCAGGTCGCCCCAGGGCAGCTGCGGCTACAATGTAGCTCATCACCAACAGTGTGTGTGTGGGTGGGTGGGTGAAAGACTGATTTTGTTGTAAAGCACCTTGGGGGGTTGTAGAACCCTAAAAGGTGCTATACAAATACAAGTAATTTACCATCACTGCTTCTTCCATTATCGTCTTATTTCCTGCTGCTGAGAGCGCCGTTTGACGCTCATCAGTGACATCACTCACCGCGGTAACGGTTGCGATATGCTGATGTCTTAGCAAAGTCCTCAAAGGGCCAATTTAGTATGAAGACCCAGTGGCCGTGAGGACAGAGTCAGCATTTTTCCTGTCACCATTTCCCCTCCCAGAGTATTTTAGTATACGCATTTTTGGTGTTATTTTTATTGTTTTTGTGTGGAAGCATTGCATCGCCACCTACAGCCATCTTATTAATGAAAGTAGGATTTCTCGTGGACAAGGTTTAAGACTTCGTAAAGCTGTGTTCGTGAAACCAGTTAAGGTGCTTTTAGTGTATCGGATGTCTTTAGGGAACGTCCAGCTCAGAAAAAGGTCCACAGTGTTGAGATGTGGTCAGAAAACGTTTGATTAGCGTGTAACGTGTCTAGAGTTTCACCGTCATGATATTTAATCTTGACGCTTTATGAAAGTTCTTGGAAAGCACCTGAACCAAAATATTTGTGTTGACTCATTTTCTTAACGTGTTCACAGCTGTTACAGGAACTTCCCGGGGTTTGATTTAATTGATGCCATAAAAAGAAAAGACTTTGGCATAAATTAAAGCGTTCTCCAGCAGGTTTATGAGTCTAATTGCTGCCAACTTTCAGTAGATCTCATTTGCCTCTCACTCCAGTGGACTCCAGACACTTTGGTCAGACTAGAGTTTCGCTCCACTGTTTGCCAACCACCAGTGATCAAGAAATGACTTACAGTGTTGGGCTTCCGGCCAGAAAAGCAGAGACACTTTGTTCCCACTTTGATTAAAGACAAACTTAAATGATTAACACTGCTGGACAGGTTCATCTTCAGGACATCAGAAACCTCTTTCATTATTTTAAAACTTTGTTTATTTGCTACTTTAAGTAATGAAATCCATCGACCACTTTAGAAGAGACAAGTTTCGTTGGAACCTGCGGAGATTTCTTTTTTGTGTTGAAACAGATTTTTATCCATTTATTTGATTCTTGATAATAATGACATTTGTGTGAAAGACGATGGAAATCTTTAGAAATCAATTCAAGTTTATTTATTTATATAGCGCCAAATCACGACAAGAGTCATCTTAAGGACCTTCACACAGTAAACATTCCAATACAGGTCAGTTTATGAAGCCAATCAGAAAAAAGTTTCCTATCTAAGGAACCCAGCAGCTTGCATCGAGTCACTGACTAGTGTCAGTGACTTTACAGCAATCCTCATGCTAAGCAAGCATTTAGCGACAGTGGAGAGAAAAACTCCCTTTTAACAGGAAGAAACCTCCAGAGGATCCTGGCTCAGTATAAGCAGCCATCCTCCACGACTCACTGGGGATCGAGAAGACAGAGTAGACGCACGCGCGCACGCACGCACGCACGCACGCACACACACACACACACACACACACACACACACACACACACCAAGTAGTGTTTCTATGGTTACATTGTGATTTCTTAGTAAATATTCTATTTGGTGAGAGATAAACTTTATTGTATTTATCCTAGTGGATCTATAATTAAACAGTTAAACTAGTAGTAGCACATTCAATGTCAAAGAAAGTTAAGTGTTATTATCAGGAGAAGGAGAATGTTTAAATGGTTAGCAGCAGTGTTCAAGACGATGGCCCCCTCCATGAGGCTACCACAGCTCAGCAGAACATCATTGTAGCTTCTTCTGGGGAGAAAAACACTTAGAGAAAAAATAAAGTTAACAGCTGAAATAGCAGGAAATAATGCAGTTAAAGAGCAGATTGTAGAAGAAAGTAGTAGAGTGTGGAAAGTGGTCAGTATGTCCTCCAGCAGTCTAAGCCTATAGCAGCATAACTACAGAGATAACTCTGGATAACCTAGCCTTTTTAGATGGAGGCATGTTGGAGGCAGGGCAAGAGAGAGCCGTCTTTACACTCCACCTCCCTGTACTCCCCCACTTGTCCAGATCTAAGCTAACATCAGATTTTGACCGTAGGCCCTATCAAATAAAAATGTTTTAAGCCTAGTCTTAAAAGTAGACAAGGTGTCTGCCTCACAGACTAAAGCTGGGAGTTGGTTCCACAAGAGAAGAGCCTGATAGCTAAAAGATCTGCCTCCCATCCTAATTTCAGATATTCTGGGAACCACCAGTAAACCTGCAGTCTGAGGGCGAAGTGCTCAGTTAAGAACATATGGAACAATCAGTTCACTGATCTATGATTGAGCTTGATTATTAAGAGCTTTATATGTGAGAAGAAGGATCTTAAAATCTATTCTGAATTTAACAGGTAGCCAATGTAGGGAAGCTAAGACAGGAGAGATATTATCTCTCTTTTTAATTCTCATCAGAACTCTAGCTGCAGCATTTTGGACAAGCTGAAGACTTTTAACTACATTCTGTGGACTTCCTGAGAGTAATGAATTACAGTAATCCAGTCTTGATGTAATAAATGCATGAACTAGTTGTTCTGCATCACTCCTGGAAAGGATGCTTCTAATCTTAGCAATATTCCGAGGGTCAAACCAGAGAAAGATTTTTCTGCTAAAAAATAGATGAGGAAACGGTCGGAGCAGAAAACGCCACACAGATGAAAATTAGCATTCATGTACTCAGCCATCTTGGTTGTTGTTGATTTAGCTTCTAGAAAATAGCAGAGTGCATCTAGGCTAGTAGAAGCTAGCTGTTAGCATTAGCAACTCCACAACATGGCAGAACTCCTTCAGACTTGTTATTTGTGGAGATAAAACATCAACGTTGCTGTTAGCCAATCAGAAACGAGATGTCAGAATATCAGGAAATAAGACAACAAATTCTGCTGATTTCTACGCCCCACTCCCGTGGCTAACTTCTGCTTTCTGAAACAGGAGCGTGAACGTTTCAAGGCTTTCATTTACACTAGAGACCACTTCAGATGCAAGTGAACTTGGTCTTTTAAAAATCTTTGTTTTGTACGGTTTTTAAAGCGTGCACACGTTTGGTTTTTAGTAAGTCTGGAGGTTTTATGGTCTTAACTTACCAGGAAAAGGAAAAACTACTTTAAAATTAGGCAAAAACTTACAGCGTTACTGTTCAGCCTTCATCAAAATCTGGAAATAAAAACAGGTCCTGTGCTCGCGTGACTTCATTCGGCCATTTTTAGATCAATTCAAGACCTGTGAATGGCCGCGGGCCACACGTTGGTCATTCCTGGTTTGGAAGCCATTCTCACTAATGGGACCACATTAAAGCACATGGTGGGGTAACGTGCGCAAGTGTGAACCCTCTTACTGAACTAAAACAAGCTTTGGAACATTTGATGGCATCCAGATGATGTCTTTGTTTAGTTTTTTCCACCATCTTGTTTATTTCAACAACGCGGCTCCGAGGTACTAAAAGATAATTTATCAGGACAGCTTTATAGCTACCTTTATTTTTTATTGCATTTGTTGTTAAAAGGCTTGAAAAATACGACTCAGCCAAGAAAAAAATGGTAGTTTGTTTTAAAAATCAAAGCAGTGAATCTCACAATGACGTTGACTTTTATCGTCTGTTGTAGAATAAAACGCGTAATTATAGGAACCTTTACGATCCCAGTATTTTCCATGTTCTGTCTCTGCAATTATATTTTATTTGTTAAGTCTTTGCATTGTTTTTTAAGACCTTGGATGTTAATGATCTGCCTTTCGTCCAATTAGCCGCTGTAAGTCTTAAGAGACTTAATGAATAAAAATAAATAAATAAAAGCTCAAAATTAGCTGAATTCTACCTAACGAGGACATATTAGGATGGTTCTTTGTTATTCTTTAATGTTAGTCAAGTGAAACCTGATTGTTAATTAAAACATTAAAAAATTTGAGGCCAAATTTAATTTGTTTAAACGAACAAACTGAGTTTGCTTAGAATTCTGTAGTTCAGCTGTTTTGGGTAAATTTCCGTCTCGACCAAATGCTGCATTGTTGGAATTCTTCCACAGCTTTCTCGTGCCAAGTTGGAAAACTTTTCTTAAAGCAGAGTTTCCTCAAACCAGGATGAAGTTGGATCAACCTGTTTCCCACAGAACGTTGTAAAGTCCAGGATGTAACTTGATTTGTTCTCTGTGTCTGCCGTCCAGGTAGGAATCTTTTGACACCTCGGACGGGATCATTGGGGTCTGATCCACAGCGTGGGACTCGTGGCTGCACTGGGACTCGGCGGAGAACATCAGCCCCTCTGGTGTGGATTGCTTTAGGGTCGACGCTGATGTTGATCTGAGGAGAGCCAAAACAAAAAGTCTCCACCTCCTGTGGATTTAGGAATGATGCACTATTGTTAAACCGCAACTTTTTATTTGCCAACAATGAAATTGGAGCATTGAACTTCAGCTGGATTGGACTCTACATCCATGTTGATGATGAAAATCTTGTGTCGGTGAGATCATTTGTTGCTGCGATGGCCGCCGTCAACTCTCCAGAGAAGCACCAGCCACTCCTGCAGCTCCAAGAGGTGGACTCCAGTCGAGTCGGCAGTCGCATCCTGTCCCCGGTCCTCAGCTCCTCCCCAGGTGCGACCCACGAATCCAGCCAGCCCATCTGCATCCCGTCTCCTTACACCGACCTCGGCCACGACTTCACCCCCATTCCTTTCTACAGCCCAAGCATCTTCAGCTACGCCGGTCCCAGCATTTCAGAGCGTCCCTCCGTCCATCAGTCGCTGAGCGCTTCTTTATTCTGGCCCAGCCACGGACACGTGGGGACGTCATTACCCCTGCACCGCTCCCAGACTCGAACCCATCATGGCCCGCCAGTCCAGAGTCCCTGGGACAGCGTTTTAATAAGCAGGTAACAATTAATGCTAGCATAAAACCTTTTTGTTCCTTCGTGCCTCAGATGAACAATAATGACTGAAGTATGTCTGTTAGTAAGAGTGCCAGGAAGATCTCTCAAGAGAACGAGGAGGCGGTGGTGTCGTCAGGCGGGAAGGCCGACCTCCACTACTGCGCCGTGTGTCACGACTATGCCTCGGGGTACCACTATGGCGTGTGGTCATGCGAGGGATGTAAGGCCTTCTTCAAGAGGAGCATCCAAGGTGAGAAAGTGAGCCTCTTGTAGCGTTGTTTATGAACAAGTCGGTACAGAATTCAAGTGGAAGATGGAGAAAAGTCATCAGGATGGCTCCTTTTCTGCTACTGGATTTAAGAGGTTCTAGTTTAGAGGATGAAAGCTGAGCGAAGAGCTTTAGTGGTTAGTTCAAAAGCTAATGTGTAAACCTTCATGTCACCGTTGCATTAGATGATTTATTACAGGCACTCTGTGTTTCATTGCCTTTCTACTTGTTAGCAGGTCTTTTATTATTTAATTTTATTTAACGCTGACTATTTACACCAGGGGTAGGCAGTCCCGGTGCTTAAAGGTTGGTTTATGCTTGACGCATCTGCGAGGTCCGCACAGCTCCGCGTGGCGAAATTGCGTCATTTTAACAACCACGCCCCTCCACCGCTCCTCTGCACGGCCCAAAATTTCCGCAACGCGCACCGAGGAAAATTTCTAACCACGCGGACGGTCTGACGCGGAAAAACATGGCGGACCGGCAAGAACTAGTATGGCAGAGGTTCGTAAATACAGACATTTGTATGATTCAGCTCTCAAAGATCACCGTGATCAACATGTTGTTAATAATTCTTGGAGAGAAATAGCTCGCACTGTCAGAAAAGACGAGGACGCTGTTAAAAATGCTGGAATGCCATGTTGTAAACAACAGTTTTTACTTCTACTATGGTGTAGTGTTGGATGCATGCCATAGAGGTCCATGCTGCCCCCTACAGTTTGGGAGAATATTGTCTCACCGCAGAAACAAGCCGCATGAACCATAAACGCTGCGAGTTGTGAAGCGCGTTCCATCCGTGAGCCGCATCACCAAGCGGAAAGTGAATGCGTCAAGCATAAACCAAGCTTAAGGGCCACTATCCAGCATGTTTTAGTTGTTTCCCTCTGCCATCACAGCTGATTTAATCAGTAGGAGATTATCGAGCTTTTACAGAACCTGGCAGGTGAACAGGTGGTTCAGCTGTGGAATTAAACATAATTCCATCGCAGCTTAAACTGCAATTGTACACATTAGCGTTTAACTTTAGCATTCAAAGCGACATTTATATGATCACACTTATTTAAGGTGTGGAACTCTGAAAAAAACGTTTTAATTATTATTTTTGGTCACTGAGTTTAACATGCAAATAAACATGAAAAAAATAAACATGAACATGAAAATAGTCTCCTACACCTATCTCCTGCTTTAGCTTCTGAAAGAAAACAGACGTGAAAGTCTAGATTAGAAAATCCTGACAGATCTACGTCACACTGTCAATTAACATTCATGGACTGACCCATCTTGACTCATGACAGGGAAGGCTGTTGTTGGTTTAGCGTCCAGGAAACAGCAGAGAACGTCTCGGCTAGTAGAAGCTAACAGTTAGCATTAGCAACTCCAGCACACAGCGGAACAACTCCAGACTTGTGTTATTTGTGGAGATAAAACAAAAATGTTGCAGAGCAAACATAGTCAGTGGTAGTCATGTTGCTGTTAGCCAATCAGAGGCAAGATATCCAAATATCAGGAAATAAAGACTCCAAATCCCGCAATCTGCTGCCACTTTCTTCCGCAGCAGACTTGTGCTGATCAGTGAGGTTTCTGGGCTTCTTTGACCCGAGTACGGCGTTCATTCCTACCAGAGACCACTGCAAACGTACTGATTAAATGAGTTTCCCACACCTTTAAATACCCACAATACAGCAGCAACAGAGTATCACTTTTTAATCCTTATATTAATGTTGAAGAACCCTGTTTACTCTTAATGCTAGTTAGCATGTTTAAGCTAAGCAAACTAGCATGGTTTGCATCTCATTTGAAATCAAAGCTTCTGGCATTTGGTTACAAATCATTTAAAAGTTATCCTCAAATGTTGACGATCATCATTTAACTTTGGACCCGTGCCAGACTGCAGGACATAACCAGCGTTACCAAGCCGAGTCTATTTTTCTCATTTCTAATGTTGTGTTTTTCTTGCCTGGATACACACTTTTTCATTCATCCCATTTTCCTTCTTTATAACAATAATGTGTTTACTTATTTGTTTTAGGACACAACGACTACATCTGCCCGGCAACCAATCAATGCACGATAGACAAAAACCGCCGCAAGAGCTGCCAGGCGTGCCGCCTTCGCAAGTGCTATGAAGTCGGCATGACCAAATGTGGTTAGTGAAGGTTTTCCTCTACATTTAAATGACTTGTTAAATATTAGTGTTTATATTTTAAAATGTTAAAAGGGAAAAAGGAAGAAATTTCAGATTTTTTAATGTAATTTGATTTGTTGCGTATCTCCTTTTTTAAAATGGTAAATGGTAAATGACCTGGATTTGTAAAGCGCCTTCTTAAGGTTCTACAACCCCCCAAGGCACTTAACAACACAATCACACATTCACACGCTGGTGTGGATGAGCTACGATGTAGCCACAGCTGCCCTGCGGCTTTCTGACAGAGGCGAGGCTGCCGAGCATAGGTGCCACCGGTCCCTCTGACCACCACCAGCAGGCAACGCGGGTTAAGTGTGTTGCCCAGCGACACAACAGCAGCATTCTCTGGTTGGAGCCGGAATCGAACATGCAACCTTCTTATTGATGGACAATTTTCTGTTCCGCTCTGAACTTGAGACAGTTCTCCACACCTTCATCTCCTCATGCTTAGACTACTGTAACTCTCTTTTCACGTGTCTGAGCAGAACCTCCCTGAACCGTCTACAGGTGGTTCAGAATGCCTGTGCTCGGCTTCTGACCAAGTCCTCCAAACACACCCACATCACCCCACTTCTCCTCCAGCTTCACTGGCTGCCAGTCAACTTCAGGGTTCATTTCAAGATCCTGGTTCTGGTCTATAGGGCCTTACATGGACAAGCACCAACTTACATTGGTGATCCTCTTAGTCCCTACACCCCCAGCAGGTCCTTGAGGTCCAGTGATCAAAGCCTACTGGTTGTGCAGCACCAGGCTAAAGGTCAAAGGTGACAGATCATCTGCTGCTGTGGCCCCCAGACTCTGGAACTCTCTCCCCCTGAGCCTGAGATCAGTGGAGTCCTGCAGCTGAAATCTCACCTGTTCAGGCCCTGGTGTGACCTTCATCACCCTCTCCTTGTGCTGCTCACCCCACCTACTTCACCTTCCTCAGGATCCACTGATTTCCCTCTTTCCTATTCACTCTCTCTCTCTTTCTTTACATTTTTTTTAATCTTAATTGTCTATTTTCGATCATTTAAAAGATATTTCTAACCATTTTCAAAATTCTTTTTTATATTTCACATTTTTTGTTGTTGTGAAGCGCCTCGTGATTTTTATCTTGAGAAGCGCTACAGAAAAGATCTTTTCTTCTTCTTCTTCTGCTCTCCCAGAGGGATAGTTTACAGGGTTAATGAACGGCCGTTCCAGCTTCTGGAATATTTTGTTTACAGCTTCAGACTGGCGGGCTGCACTGTTGGACAATTGAAATTGGGCCGACTTACTGCAGTCTGGCTCCAGCACGTTTTAGATCATGAACACAGCTAGTTTGTTTAATTTAGTGCTGAATCGCTCTTGTAGACACTAAGGAAGGCTGGGAGACATTTCAGCTGTTAGATTAGGGCGTTAAAAAGACAAACATTGAGCGAGGACATAGGTTTTGCTTTCGGTTCTGTAAACGGACACTAGGGGGTGCTAAAAGCAAGCCAAAACTGCCTAGCTCCCCTTTAAATTCACTTAATTTATTTTAATGCAAGTTTAGGTTTAAAAGAGTTCTTTTTCTACATTTTATTTGATTAATAAATAATTTAAACAAATAAAACTAGTAGTTCTTTCCTTTTTCTGTTCCCCAGGTATTCGTAAAGAGCGTGGGAGCTACAGGAACACGGTGGTGAAGCGAGTGACCCGTCTGTCCTCTCAGGGCAGAGTCGGCAGACCTAAGGTGTTAACCGGACCAGCAGAGAGTCCTGTAACTGAACCGTTACCGCCTGCGTTGACCCCAGAGCAGCTGATTGAGCGGATCATGGAGGCGGAGCCACCGGTGATCTACCTCATGAAGGACATGAAGAGGCCGCTGACGGAGGCAGATGTGATGATGTCGCTCACCAACTTGGCTGACAAGGAGCTGGTTCACATGATCAGCTGGGCCAAAAAGATTCCAGGTTTGTGTTAGTGTTGCTCTCTAACGGACTGAACCGAAACAAGGGGAGGGTTGGTTTTGTTTTCAGACCAGAACCAGTCATTGTGCACATGTGGGGGAGACCGTAATCGATGGATCGCAAACATTTCAAAATGCACCTGTTGATAAAATGTAAAAATCCGAACCAAATAACTCCTATCGCTGGTTTTTAAACTCTTTTTAACATGAAACAGACTAGCCTGCATATACAAACATAAAAGAACACCTAGAACCCGAACCCGTTTGTTCATTCCGACCGTTGACCAACCCAGCGCGCTCAGGGACGCACGACGAGACCCGATTAACCTCAGCTGGACCTTTGATGGGTTGAACAAAAATGCCAGGAACCAAAGTTCAAACAGCAAAACTGAAGATCTTTCGGTTCAGTGCATTTTGATTTCTCGGCTAGATGGGATGTTAACACCCCTCTCTCCAGTCGTGCTCTTCAGCACCTCCTGAAGGAGCTCAAGGCGTTCCCACTGCTGATGATATACAAGTAATCCTGTCCTATTCCTGAGTCTTGTCCCATTGTAGTTGTCCTCCAGAGAGAGGAGAGCAGGAGGAACCACCTCAACGGACTCCATTTGAAAATCAAAGCCAGACCAGAGCAAAACCCTCTCCGTTACCCCCCGATTGGTCTGTTTTTGGCTCCAAAACTCCTAAAATGGAGACATCCATCCGTCTTTGTCCAGTTGATTGCCTGAGAGGAGGAGCTGACGCAAATTTCCTGCACATTTTGCTGCTAGCTAGCACGCAGGCCCTGTAGAGACATCCAGGTCACACCATAAACCAGCTCGTTAATCATGGCTGAACTAGAGCTCCACCAGCGGGTTGGGAGTTTAAATCCTCTGTTGGACATGGTGAGGAAACAGTGACCTTTAACCCAGTAGATAAGAGTTGAAGTTCAACAGATGGTCTGTTTACTGTGCCATAAATGCCTGTTTTTGTGCAGATTTAAGTAAATAAGATCTAAAACGGTTGAGATTTAAGATATATTCCACCTTTAACAGATGGTTTCTTCTCGTTTAGCAAAAGCTTTGGACTCAATTTGCATTCAAACATGAGAAATAATGGAACAGGAGCCGTTTAAAGATGAGATTTTTGTTAGAAATGTAATGTTTCTATTAAATTCAGCCAGCAATTTTCAGGTGTTGTCATCAGAGTCAGGCAGCAAGCATCGTGTGACTCTTTTCTCATTTAAAGTTCTGAACATGTGCGTTCGCTTAAGCTGCTTCCAGCCCGAGAGGAAAATGACCTTTAACCCTTAAGTGACCTAATTCTGTGTCTGTAGAGTCACAGCATGGGTAAACCTCAGACAGCAGTGTGCAGAAGTGTAAATATTAATATTGTGCATCAAGCAGAGTGGTGGTAACATAAGCAGCTAATGTCCAAGTCAGACTAGAAAATCTGGTAAATCTGGTTTCTAAAACCTTGCAGAAGCCATCCTGTTTCACGTCAGCTCTCCATGCAGCCTGGCATGTTATCTTAACGCTCTCTGAGCCATTTATTACCAATCATTCGTGGATGGAACGCCGCAGCCGCAGCCAGGAACCACGTGGATTCCTTCACAGCCACAGTTATCCAAAAGCTGCTTCCAGGATGTCGCAAAGCAGAAATGTTCTAGATCACAGCGGCGGCCTCCCCTTGTTTCCATTTCCTACATCTTAACTCACTAAAGCTACGACCAGATGAGATGGAGCAGGAGACGACAGATTAACGCCGTTATCCTGCATTTACTCATTTCCCCCCGCTGTTCCGCTTTAATATCAGCAGCAGAGGCGAACAGCGGCGAGCTGGCAGCGTCACAGTCAGGTTTATTAAATCTGCCCTATTAACACACTAAAAGCTTTTTATAAACAGTAATAAACTGGTTTGGTGAGAGATCTACGAGGAGCGTTTAAGTGCTGAATGATGTCTGAATAAAACTGATGATATTTTAAAAATCTCAAGTCTACACGAGCGTTTAGGCCGTAGGCCTTTTTCATTTCTATTGAGTCACTCAATAAATGTTTTAGGAGTGCCTTGTTGGAATAACCCTCCAGTAGTTTTATTAGGGGAATCATCCCATTTAAGATGCTAAACGTTGCACATGTGGGTTTGTTTGCTCCTCAGGGTTTGTGGATCTCTGTCTCCTGGATCAGGTGCATCTGCTGGAGTGCTGCTGGTTGGAGGTGCTGATGATAGGCCTGATGTGGCGTTCCGTAGACCATCCAGGGAAACTCATCTTCTCTCCTGACCTCAGCCTGAGCAGGTAACGCTGACCAAAAGCTGAGGCTCTGTGTTAAAGCAGCAATAAATATGTTTCCAGTGTCTGCCCCCTACTGGTTGAAAGTGTCAACCTGTCACAGTAAAGGACACTGGGACTGCTTGTTGTAGCTAGCTCTAACAATGAGCTAATGCTAGCTCAGGTTTTCGAAGACTAAAATAAACCACAAAGTAAAAAGATCCACAGTCTTGGACAAAAAATATAAATACTTACAAGTCCTGTAGCAACAAAGCCAGGTCACCATCAGTCTGTGATTTTGTAGCCTCCTTTAGGTCCCTCAGACTAGCATAGGCCGCGCCAACGTTCACTCTGGTTTTAGCTCCTTGCATCACCTCCAAAGACATTACTGTCTTACTTTTATTTCCAGGCTCCGCCATGATGCCAACGTTATATTGACAGTCGGCGAACTGAAAAAGCTAACCTTTAGCTTTTACATTAGCTACCGTCAGAGTAAACACTTAAGTGTTGCTTTAACTGGTGAGATATTATAAATGACAGTTTACAGCCTCTTGTAGCCCAGATCGGAAAGGTTTAACTATGACAGTGTCTTAGCCAATCAGAGCTCACGCTCACATCACATGATCAAATGATGGAAAACATTTCTGTCTAATGTAAAAAAGTTAGTTTAAACGTTCCACCATTATAAAATTAGATGTTCACACATAAATTTCAGTAAAGCATCAACAAAAACAACTGTCCACATCTGGAAAATCAAACCAATTTCTGTTGGTAGAAAGTGAAATAAAGCAGAATAAAACCACAATTGTAGCAAATCTAATGCTAGATCCATGGTTAATATGAAGATAATTGATGTTTTTGCGTTTTCATAACGCGTCAACATAAATTTGGGGTGTTGTCTGTGCTTTGATGCGACGGCTAACGGCTCCCGTTTGTGCGGCAGAGAGGAGGGCAGCTGTGTCCAGGGCTTCGCTGAGATCTTCGACATGCTGATCGCTGCCACGTCCCGAGTGAGAGAGCTCAAGCTGAAGAGGGAGGAGTACGTCTGCCTCAAGGCCATGATCCTCCTCAACTCCAGTGAGTCAACATGTCTGTGTGCTTGTTAGCTGGTGACACAGGAAAGATCTTGTTCTGTGAAAAGCTCGGCGTGTAATCCTGAGGCTGGGTGAGTGACTCCAAACAGAGGAAATCTGTAAAAGGAATGCTCTGTGATGCCACGGATTTGTCTTTGGAAGCTTTTTCCTTTGGCTGGCTGCAGATCACCAGTCTGTCACAAGATGGCTCTGCCCTGAGCGTTATCCCACTTTATCATCCGTTTGCTAAATTTGATCAAATGAGACGAACAGGAAGGTAAAGAGTTGTCTACAGATCCAGGGAGGTTTATCTGGTTGTCGTATTTACAGAAACAGCTGATGGACGTGAAGCCACTGAAGGGAATTTGAACCAGATCAGCAGCAGATCACAAAAAAAAAAATCTATAATTTAGTGGCAATGAGCCAGAACGTCCTCTGGGAAGGTGTAAGAGGTGCAGTTTCACACTAGAATGTTTGTGGCATCATTTCTGATGTCACACAGCGACCATCACCAGTTTTCTGCGCCGCCATGTTTTCAGACATGTGCCTCAGCTCCTCGGAGGGCAGCGACGAGCTCCAGAGTCGCTCCAAGCTGCTGCGTCTCCTGGACTCGGTGACGGACGCCCTGGTGTGGGCCATCGCCAAAAGCGGCCTGACCTTCCGCCAGCAGTACACCCGCCTCGCCCATCTGCTCATGCTGCTCTCACACATCCGCCATGTCAGGTGACTGCCGCCGTCCTTCATCTCTCGTGTCAAAACGTTTATTTAGACACTCATCCTGAGTCTTCGGCTGTTCAGCAACAAGGGCATGGACCACCTGCACTGCATGAAGATGAAGAACATGGTGCCTTTGTACGACCTGCTGCTGGAGATGCTGGACGCCCACATCGTGCACAGCTCTCGCCTGCCTCGCCGGCCGTCCCAGCAGGAGCCCTCGGACCAGTCCGCCTCGTCCCACAGCCCCGCCAGCGGACCGTCCAACACCTGGACTCCCAGCAGCGCCGGAGGTGAAGCCCAGTATTCAGATTAGAACTTTTTAATGACGAGGTGCTTTCTAGGAACAATCTGCAAATACTGAGGGCTGTTTTCTCCGGCAGATTACTGGTGAATCTTTAACACACTGTGCACTATTTCCGGTGAGTCCTCGACGTTTAAACCAAACCTGTAGGATTTTTAGTCGTTTTCCACCACGTAACAGAACCCAGAGTGGAACATCCAGTATCGTGTCAGTCTCAACCAGAAGATCGTTTTTTCAGTCATAACAAGCTTGGCTTTAGCATTTAGCGTATATTTACTCTTTTCTATATTTCTTCATAATCACCTCCTACAAGTCCTTTACTGCAGCTCCGCGTCCTTTCAGTGGACTAGGAGTTAGTGTGTAGTGTCCACCATTAAACAAGTCTAAGGCCCAATCCCAACACTCACACTAACTCACGTGCACGTTCCCAGCCAGGGGTGCCCCGAGTTCGAATGTTCATCACGCCCCTTTTGCACCCTTGATCCGCACTTGAAAGGTATTACCCACAATCCATTGCTGCTGGAGAAAAGGCTCTAGTGTCTTTTCTGAAAACGTGTCGTTTCTAACGAAAGTCCGATGAGTTGATGCTCTGAATGTTTTAGACAAAGCAGCAATTAATGTAAATTTATTTGAAATAATTGTTTGAAAGTTGTTAATAAAGCTTTTTTTTTTAAAGATGTAGCACAGCGACCAGCATCCTGCCCCAATTCGCCAATTATTTGCACACTTGTGCACCACGCACTCGAAGCCTTACTGAGCACTTCCTCCAAGTGCGAGTGTTGAGAGTGGGCCGTAGTCTCTGGGCGATGCCTACAGGAGCCCGTGAGGACAAAAGACATTTGCCGATTTGTAACAAGCAGTTAAAACCTTTTGCCATTCCTAAATGTTGTTTTACACGTTTACCTCTGAACGAGTTGACTGCAGTCCCAGGGGGTTTTTGACCCTAAGGGAGGATATGTACTGCCCCCTGTCGCCAGGGGAAATGCACATTGTCACATTAATCCTCACGTAAATATCTTTATGGCTTCAGAGGATAGCAGCCATTGAGGATTAGAGGGGCTACCGTCCAGCGTGTTTGCTGGAAGCAACTAAAACATGCTCAATAAGGGCGCTCGAGGACACAGAGGTGCCTTTAATTTATGCAGAAATACAGAAAAACTTGATTTTTACTTGTAGCTTACGAGCAGATGAAACAGACCTGAGCCGTTTTCATCACAAGCAGCACTTTTGGTGTCGAGGTGGCGCTCCTTTCAGCGCAGCACAAATGTTTCTTTGTTGCTTCACTTCTCCTTTACAACACCTGGGCTTGTTTGCGTTGCACCTTTCCTGTATCACTGTGTAAAATGATGGTGAACTGGTGACAACTTTTAGTAATAAATGTTTAAACCTCTGAAAAATGCCTTTGAAGTGTCTTCACCCAGCTTTAGAGGGAAACCAGAACACAATCCAGGTGAGATCATAATTTATTACTAGAAAACTGTACATGAAAACGCTGCTAAGCCACAGGAAAATACCAGAGCAGTTTGTTTTTCTCATCGCTGCAGGTCATGTGGGTGGGGGCCCGTTGGTGTAGCGGAGCATGGGGTAGAAGGACCGTCCAAAGTTGTTGGTCACTGTGCAGCTGTGATCGCTCTCCGATAGAGGGATCAGGCAGGGGAGGAGCAGCAGGAGGAGGAACAGGAGCTGCAGGGGGACAACCGCCCGCAGGAGGCGGTAGAAGAAGGATGGAGGTGGGGAGGATGCTTTCAGCTCCCTGTAGGAGAAACACTGTTTATATGCAATAAGACGTCAGCAGTAAGATGATGGTGGTCCTCCACAAACCTTTGAGTAGATCCTTTCTGTGAAGCCTCCTGGGGCAGGTCAGCTGCTGAATCCTGAATTAAAGAGAATCTAATATAACAGATCTGTGATTTTAACCCTCCCACTGTCCTAATGGGTGTGACCCCGCGGCAGGGGTGAGGTGGTGCTCACTCCTCACCCCTGCCGCGTGGACCCAAGGGATAAACCATCAACCCTGCTCAATGGTCAACTTTCCTCGCGGGGTCACACCCATTAGGACAGCGGGAGGGTTAAACAGAAACATTTCAAAGATGGGCCCTTACCAGCCGCTGCTGCAGGACGTGGAGGTCCAGGTCCACCTGCTTCACCAGCTGCTTCAGCTTTTTTCCCGTTACATGGATCTTCTCCTGAGCTTCATCGCTGTCAGCAGCTGCTTCAGGCTGCAGCTGAGACCACAGCGCCTGCAGCGAGGAGTGCTGGGTCCCCCTGATGCACAGCTCCTCTTGCAGCTCCTGCACACACAAACAGCATTTAATAAAACTTGATCTTTATTACTTAATAAAGTCTCTTTCACCATGATAGCTTACAGTTAGTGTGGTGGTGTGTCGCTGCAGCGCGCCAGCGCTCGCTCCTGGGAGGTTTACGTCCACGCTGCGGCATCGGCTCTCTGCGTGAGCCAACCACAGCAGCAGAGAGTGCAGCTGCTCGTGGAACTCCTACATGGAAAGAAAATGAGAAACGTTTATTAAAGTGAAGTTTAGTACTTCAGCATATGAAGTGTTTTGATATTTATGCCGACCATTTAGAATTTGACAGCAGAAACATCTGGCAGAAGCAGAAAAATGTGTAAACCGTTTTTAATAGCAACACTGCATGGAGTCCAGCTGTAGTTGGATGATAAATATACATCTATGTACACTTACCTGACACATTATTAGGTACACCTGCTCAATTACTAACCCACATCCAGCTGTAGGGTGAGGACAACCTCTGGTAGTGGCGTTTAAGCCAGGCTCAGGTGGTTTAAAGTGGATAACAACTAACAAGATCTCCTTTACACCAAATCTTGACCCACGTCACCTGAATTTCTCCTCTCCGCTACGGTTCATACAGCAAGGTGTACCTAATAAAGTGACCTGTGAGTCGTATCTAATAAGTACCACCAACGCTGACTGCTACATGCTACAGATCTACACCTACTGCATAAACAGCAGGAGCTTTTTTTCACCTCCTTATTTAAAACACATGTTCAGATGTTTCTCCTCACTTGGCAGCGAGTCAGTTTCCTCCTCAGGCTGCTGTCCCACCGCTGGAGTCCAGTACAAGCTCTGCTCCAGCCTCGGTTCATTCCCACCAGTTTCTCCTGTAAATCAGGACAATCTCTGGCCTGCAGGTTGGCAGTCAGCATGATGGACTTGTGGTGAGAAAACTGTTTCTCCAGCTCCTGCAGAAACATCACAAAAGGTTCTTTAATAAAAGAAAAATAAATCGCTGCAGTCAGACTGAGGCGGGGGTTACCTTCAGCTCTTTGGCTCGGCCCTCCATGTCCTCTATACTGGTTACTGGGTCAGACTGCAGGAGGCGGTCCAATTCAGGAATCACAATCTCCAACCAGGAAGTGATGTCATCCAGACCAACTGTGAGCAGCTGAGGCTCCTCCTGCTGACCGCACCTGGACCGAGCACGGAGCAGCTCCCAGCGTTCAATCACACCTTCAGGTTAGAAACATCCTCCCGTTAGCTCAGGTGGTTCAGCAGGACTCAGCCCAGTTTCCTAAAACCCGTTCACCTGACTGTCTGTCTGCGGCGCTCAGTTCCGTCAGACCCATCTCCTGCTGCTGCTGCTCGTCGTCCAGGATCAGAGAGACTCTCTTGATGTTCTCGATGCTGCCGCTGCACTGGGACGTGAGGCACAGCTGGAAACGACATGTCCACATTTAGAGCCAGCATCTGGAGCAGCAGCTGCATCACAGCTAGCTGAAGCTTCATTCTGAGACGTACATAGCTCTGCTTTAGGGGAGTGCTGGTAAGGGTGGGAGTGGCCTCAGGGTGTCCCTTCGAGTCCACCTGATCCTCTGGGTCTTCTGGTGACCTCCAGATGGGATAGTCATGAAGAGACCGGGACCCGCTTGAAACTGAGAGGGGAAAAAATAGATTTTCTTGATGCAAAAACTGAGAAAGTACGTATCTGCAGGTCAGAATTGATTTATTGTCACATCTGAACAACAAGGAGGATCAGAACTCTACTGGAGTCTGCAGAACACACGACTAAAACACGGAACACATGCCCCGCTGGTGCACACACACACGACTTGCAGATTGGAGCGAAGCTGATGCCGTTTACTGTTGCTGCTGTGATGGAGTGGAGGAGGGGATCGAGATAAAAGAGTCGAAAAAAGGACAAAGAAAGGAGATGAAATAAACATGGCCATGTTTGAACTCTGGCGTGGGGTTAATGTGCAGGAAGAACCGCCTCCTGCATAAAAATAATGAATGTTGCTGCAGAACAACTCCATCAATCACTGCAAGCTGCACAGATTTCACCTCTCAAATAATAATTATTTAATAATTGTGCCTCATGGCCTTGTTTGACATGAGATAAATAAAAGCATCTCTCTGAATCCACTTTTAGGAGACAATGTGACATTAACTACCACACCCCATTCATGCAGACCAGTTTAAGATCCACCAGCAGGTACGTGGGTGAGTGGTTCGGGGGCAGTCTGAAGATGTTTCCAGGAATCTCCTTCCACCCTGAGTGGATTTACTGTGCAGAAGGTGAAGAGGTTTGTGAGCCGAGCCGGTGTGGAGACTCGTAAAGCTTCACTCGATTCCACTTGGCATTCATTCGGCTTCAGCTTTGCGTAGAAAAAGTGGTCAGTGGCCAGTTTTTATTTCTACAAAAGCATTCGAAGTCAGATGTTCTTCCAGGAACATTAAAAACACATGAAGTGTGAGTGTTGATTTTAGAAGTTATTGCATAACAAAATAATAGCAATAACGTAATTTTCTGTCTCCCCATAAAAAATGTGTTCTCAGAACTAAAATGAGAGGAATTTATAAAGCCTCCATTTATAAATATAAATGTACCTGATAGTGCACTGAAGTAGGCGCCCTCGTCTTGCTCCTCCTCTTCCTCATCGTCCTCATGTGACGAGCCCCCCACGTCTACCGTGTGGTCCCACTCCAGAGGGAGAGAGTCAACGCTCACAGGAGTCTCCTGACCAGAACGCTCCAGAGGGGAGTTCAGCAGGTGAGTGGGTGTAGCAGGGAGGCTTCCTTGGCTCCTCCCCAGCCATGGTCGTTCAATCAGCTCCAAGCTGGTCTCCAGAGAAAAGGTCAGCTCAGGTTCCTCTGTGATCATCTTAGGCAGAGATGGATGGTAGTCATAAAACTGAGTTTTACAACTATACAATCATCTAATGTATCATAAAAAACTAATACAAATTATAGTGTTTTATTTTTACAAATTCATTAGTAATTTATTATCCTTTAAACAGAAAGGCATACGTTTCCAAAAAAATCTAAATCTGAAAAAATATATAAAAATACATCTCTTTCACCAAATGACAAAAGTAAGAATGTAGTATGTGTCACGAAAATATGACACAGAAATACTACTGTATGTGTCAAAATGGTACAAAAAACATTATAGTACGTGTCGTAAAATTGCGCAAAAAATACTATAGTATTTATCATTAAATGATACAAAAAACAATACTATAATACGTATCACAAAATGGTACAAAAAACATAATACTATAGTAAGTTTCATGAAATGGTACAAAAGTATGTATCATAAAATGGTGCAAAAACATAATACTGTAGTATGAGTAGAAAAATTGTACAAAAACATAATATTATAGTATGTGTCGTAAAATAGTCCAAAGAAACATAATACTATATAGCATTTGTCATAAAATGGTACAAAAAGCATAATACTTTATAGCATGTGTCATAAAATGGTACAAAAAAATGTATCATGAAATGGTGGCAAAACGTAATACTATAGTACGAGTAGAAAAATGGTACAGAAAAACATAATACCGGCCTCACACCGTCCATGGGATGAGCCTCGATCAGGAGGCTCATATTATAGTATGTGTCGTAACATAGTGCAAAGAAACAATACTATATAGCATTTGTCATAAAATGGTACAAAAGAATGTACCATAAAATGGTGCAAAAACGTAATACTATAGTATGAGTAGAAAAATGGTACAAAAAACATAGTATGTGTCATAAAATAGTGCAAAGAAACATAATACTATATAGCATGTGTCATAAAATGGTACAAACGCATGTACCATAAAATGGTGCAAAAAGCATAATACTACAGTACGCATCATAAAATGATGCAAAAAGCATAATACTTTATAGCATGTGTCATAAAATGGTACAAAAAATAATGTATCATAAAATGGTGCAAAAACATAATACTGTAGTATGAGTAGAAAAATGGTACAAAAACATAATACTGTAGTATGAGTAGAAAAATGGTGCAAAAACATAATACTGTAGTATGAGTAGAAAAATGGTGCAAAAACATAATACTGTAGTATGAGTAGAAAAATGGTGCAAAAACATAATACTGTAGTATGAGTAGAAAAATGGTACAAAAACATAATATTATAGTATGTGTCGTAAAATAGTGCAAAGAAACACAATACTATATAGCATTTGTCATAAAATGGTACAAAAGTATGTACCATAAAATGGTGCAAAAAGCATAATACTTTATAGCATGTGCTATAATGGTACAAAAAAAACAATACTATTATGTGTCAAGAAACACCTAAAATTGTGGTATGAAATGGTAAAAAATACTTGTACTACGGTACGAGTCATGAAATCAAACAAAAACGTCATTCTTGAGATGCACTCAGTCTGTTCTTGTCGTTGCATGGCAGAGTTAATTATCAGTAACGTTTAAAAACAACTCTCTCTCTCTATGTGTGTGTGTGTGTGTGTGTGTGTGGCTGAGCTTACTGGGGGCTGGCTGAGGCGCTGGTGGAATCGGACCAGCCTGCTGAAAACCTCCTGACAATACGAGTGCAGCTCTTCCAGCTCATCCTCTATCAGCGCCGCGTCCTGCGGTGAACTCTTCTGGATCAGACCCTCTCCAAACACTATCAAGCTGTCAATGCGCTCCGTGTTCAGGGTGATCTCCTTCTGGAAACTCTGTGGGATGATGGATGAACAGAGGCTGAGTCAGGACACCCAAACGAACAGCACATGGCTGCTTACAGTAATTCTAAAGGGGTTCTGGACGAGAAACCTTCCAAAGACAATGTTCAGAGTTTGAAGATACAACCAGAGGCATAAATTCTCACTGACGGGTAATAAACCAAAAACAGTACCAAGGCGGGTGTGTGCCTCACATTGAGCTGTTGGATCTTTTGATGGACGTCGCTCTCTGAGAAATGTTCCACGTTGGTGAGCTGCAGGTCCAGCTCTGTCAGCCACACTAGCATGCTCTCCCTGGTGCTCTCGAATTCCTCCCTCTGGCTGGTAAAATACTGAGGGACAGGGGACGGTAAGAAAAGGCAGGGCTGTGCACGTTATTCATCTAAAAGTAAAAACCATCAGGGACAGAAGATGCAGCTGAAATCTGACACCTTGAGTCTGTGCAGGATGGCGGTCACTCTGTGGTGCAGGGTGTCCCAGCGCCGGTTCCCTTCACTGACCATGGCTTTGAGGTGGCTGGCTCTGTCTGTGCGGTTCTCCCGGGCCAGGCGGCGGTACTGGTTATTAACTAGCTCCAACTGAGTCAGGCGCTCATGAACCTGTCTCTGCAAACTCTGCACACAGATTTGTATTCGAGTCAGCGCCAGACACCGACTTATTCTTAAAATCCAACAACCTGCAGCTTCCACGTAAAAAAAAACACACTCAGGTTGTTGCATAACTTTTTACACAGAATGTGAACAGCTGCCTACAAGGAGCCACAAAAGTCTCTGGCAAGCTGACTGACCTCAAACTTCTTGAGTTCCTCCTTGGCGACAGAGAAGAGGACGTCTGCGGAGTTGGGGTTGGCAGCAGTTCTCTCAGCCATCTTGAGCCAATCCTCGAAGCGGGAGTAGTCGTTGAGGAATCTGCACCAGAGGGTCCAAGTCTCCTCGATCCTAAAGGGAGACATCGTGTCACAGTCAAACGGATGAAAATGTTTCGTGTTGTACATCAAACACCAGGAAGAGGGGTTTCAATTTAAGGTTTTGCTTTTACTGGAGTCTTCTGTCCAGAGCCATGGCACAGATGGTCCTCCATCGCTGGTCCAAACTGCGGCTGGTTTCTTGCAGGGAGTCGCCCTCCGCCTCAGACCCACCAGCAGCATCTTCATCCCGCAGCAGAGCGTCACACAGACTAAGCACCGACGCAACACCTTGTGTATGCTGCTCGATGTCTCTCTGCAGCTCCTGGACAGACACGAGGACATGTGTTAGATCGTCTCAGATGGTGAAACCACGTCTAACAATGAAGAGGTGTGAATTCACAAAAGGGGAATTGATGGAAAGTCGAATTAGACATAGAAGACATTTATGGTGGTTTTGTTGAAGGGGTCCTAAATGTACTTTATAACCGGAAACTTCTTTGATCCTCTCTATAGAACACCAACGGCCTAACCCTAACCCATAATAATGCCCTACAACAGAAAGGCTAGTGTTCCCCGCCCACTCAGCCAGGGCATTAATATTAAATGAGCTGCATGCTGACCTTAATGGTTTTATGACGGTGCCTAAAGCCAAAAACTGTACAGGCGCGGCCAATATCCGGATAGCTCAGTAAGCAAACTATGGATCTATCTGGCATTCATTCAAAGTCTGGATCTTCCCAGTGCATCCTGGAATATTCCGAGTGTTCTTTGCTGTGTTACTCTCGTTTAACAAGGACGTTAGCAGTAGCCTCACCTAGCGTTAGCGTAACATTGTTCTGCAGTTAGCATTACGACCACCAACGTTTCTATTGCCAACATTGAAGTGAGTTGGGACATGCAAATTTAGAGGGTGGGGTATGTACGCTTATGATGCGTTATACCAGCTTTTCTCAGAACAAGCCATGACAACATTACTAAATAAGAAAGCAGTTTGGAGGTGCAACACACGTTTTGGTACATTCGACAACTCGCACTGCTTAAAGAGCAAGTCACCCCCTATCAGAGTATTACTCCACTCACACTTTCTGTATGAAAAATGCAACAAATGCTGTTGCCGAGCAAACCGAGGGGGCGGAGCCGCTAATAAATACACACACAGGCTCACTATGACATTGTGACATCATATGGTACCAGCTAACTTTCTAGGGTACCTCTTAGCCAATAGATTGCTATTGGCTAAGAGGTACAGATTTAAATTCAAATGCTGTGCAGAGTTTTTACCTGACAACGGCACAACACCGACAGTTTTAGGCAGAAAAGTCAAATTTTAACTAGAATGCACTGAAGTGCAAAACTATTAACTACACGTGTCTGCAGCATGATAAGACACACATTTGTATAGTTTATCAGAAAAAATAAGTTGATTTGGGGGTGACTTGCTCTTTAAATTTGACAATGTAAAAGCGGTTTAGAACTAAAATGCCTTTAAAGTGTCGTGTGTGTGTGTGTGTGTGTGTGTGTGTGTGTGTGTGTGTGTGTGTGTGTGTGTGTGTGTGTGTGTGTGTGTGTGTGTGTGTGTGTGTGTGTGTGTGTGTGTGTGTGTGTGAGAGAGAGAGAGAGAGAGAGAGAGAGAGAGAGAGAGAGAGAGAGAGAGAGAGAGAGAGAGTGAGTGAGTGAGTGAGTGTGTGTGTGTGTGTGTGTGTGTGTGTGTGTGTGTGTGTGTGTGTGTGTGTGTGTGTGTGTGTGTGAGAGTGAGTGTGTGTGTGAGAGTGAGTGTGTGTGTGAGAGTGAGTGTGAGTGTGAGTGTGAGTGTGTGTGCGTGTGCGTGTGCGTGTGCGTGTGTGTGTGTGTGTGTGTGTGTGTGTGACCACCTGGTGTTCAGCCAGCCTCCTCTGGATTTCCTGTTCGTGACAGACGCTGTAGGTGATGGGTCTGGACAGCTCGGCCTCCACGCGGGACAGCCATGAGCGCAGGTTACTCATGTTCTTATCCAGCTGCTGCACCGTCGCCAGAGTCTCCTTCAGCTTCTTCACTCTGACAACACACAGAACCGTTAACAGTCCAAACCACAGCACTAGTGGTCCCGACTGCTTCACAGGTATCAGAGGTTCACAGGGGTTCTCCGTTAGAGGCCTGCTAATAAATCAGGTTCTGTTTCACAAGGTCCTGACAGAGAAAAAAAAACCTGATTAATGAGTTTTATTTTTAATGTAAGAAAATATTAAATATATATTTATTTAAAACACAATAATGCTCTTTTTTATTTGAGTGCCTGTTTTTGAAGGAGAGAAAACAAAAAAGACAAAAGAAAAGCTTTTCACAAACTTAGTGGCCTCTCAGGTATCCTAAGGTCGCCATGGTGACGGCCCTCACTAATGAACACACACTCAGCACTACACTAACTGGTGTCATAGCAACACACGGGACAATAAAAGCTCTCGTTGAGGCTTAAAAGCCTGAAGTGTGGCCCATTTTTGGAGGTTTGAGTTAATTTCCCCATTTGATCCGTCGTCTCCTGTCGGCGTCCAGCTGCGCCCGTCAGAAAGACGCTTTCTTTAAAAATGAAAAGAGCCAAAGAACAGCTGTGACCGTAAGTGTCGGACAGAAGAATGAATGAATGAAAGTGTCCCAACTTGTAGTCAGTCACTTCAGCTGCACTCAGAGTCGTTTTAAATAGTTTTGGACTTTTTAGAGAAGTAAAAGTCTATTGCGAGAACTCTACTCGGGGGATTTTCTCTTCTTAAACTAGTCCATTCTGACTTTGTTGTGGAGCAAAGAGAAACTTCCACCTGAACGGGAGGTGTGAGGATAAGACGACGAGTTTATTTCTGTTTTTCAGACAGTCTACAGGACATTTTTCTTTTTTAATATATGTTTTAGTCACGATCAGGTATATAAACGTTTTCAACAGTTTTCTATCAAATTTAAGCTGCAGGTGCATCAGGTGTTCAGGGGTGTGTCCATGGGGGGGGGGGGGGGGGCAAATATATGCATTTATTCATGGAAAAATGTCAGATAATTATGAAAAATGTATCATTTTGTGCTTTATTTGATTTTGATTTATAGTAGCCAAATAGATTGTGATAAACACTTCATAGTTTTCAAGGCCATGGGCCGTTTACACGTGCCACCCCAACAATAATTTTGCTCCTTTATTCTGTAAATTAATCTTAAAAATGTAAAAATGCTCTGAGGTCTCGATAAAAGTACTTTCCTCCATGGAACTCCCAGGACTGGCTGAAAAGGGGCCTTTCAGTACCAAGCATGTAGGGCCAAACCTGAAGGAGGAGGGGGACTCTTGAGAGACTCATGCTACTCGGAGAACCTAAAGGTCTGTTCAACAGCATTGGTTCTGCATCTCCTGCTCTGCAAAGCAGAGTTGCACCTACTGTGCATGTCCAGACTGCTGTAACGCATGAGTTTCTGTCCAGTCTACATAAATGTGTAATGTACACACCAGAAAAGGGAGAAGGATGCATGATCCCAAGTGCACATGTGCATTATTCTTATTTGGGCTGAAGCCCCATCTTTAGCATTGCCACCTTTACATCGAGCAGCTCCAGTAGTTCAAACAGTAGAAGTCATCCGAGATGTCTACACCTACAAGAGGTCTCACCCTGGAGCTTAACATTTGGAGACAGGGAGCCTCCATTGAACTCATCAAGCAGCTCACCGAGGAGTACTTTCCCTCACAGATCACCGCTTGATCCACCTTAAAGGGAGAGTGGGCCGTTTAGACTTGCTTTTAGCACCCCCTAGTGTTCATTAGTGAAACCAAAAGTGAAGCTTTTCTCCTCGCTGTGCGTTCATCTTTTAATCTAACCTTAATCTAACAGCTGAAATGTCTCATCAGCCTTCATTAGTGTCTCAGGAGTGGTTAGTCACTAAGTTAAAGAGATTACCTGTGCTCATGATCTGAAACATACAGGAAATCGCTGGAAGCAGACTGCAGCGCTGGCGTGTCAGCCAGGGGCGGCGTTAGGCCCGGCTACTTGGGCTCAAGCCCCGAATTTTTTAAGAAAAGCCCCAGATCTAAAACGTGGAAGTAACATGCAGTACCAAAGTCCAACAGAGAGGGAGCAGCTGGCAGTAGTTTGTATACAGCCTGCCTGAGCCTCCACCACTGAAGAAGAAGCCCTTCAGCAGCCGGCTTCTTCTACACTCTCTGCCTGAAACACAACTGTGAAGATGGACATAAGGGCGTTTTTTAGACCAAAAGTACCACGACAGAACCCCAGTTTTGATGAGACTGGTGTTGACTCATTTGTGAATCTTATTTGAAAATATTTGTGATCTGTAATATATATGATGTTGACTAGTGCGTGTCACGTGTGTGTGTGCGCGCGCACGTGTTAAGCCCCGGATCTTCTTCAGTCCTAAATCCGCCCCTGGTGTCAGCTCCACTTAGACATGCAAGTGCAGTATTCTGGACACGGGGTGGTGGGGTCTGAGTGACTTATTACCCTGAAAAGGGTCATTTTAGCACATCTGGCTCAAGAAGATGATTTAGAAATATGAAAAAGTTGCATAGCATTCCTTTAATGATGGATACAGCTTTCTCTTTGTCCATCAGACCCCGTAAGAAGGCCAGGATCACGGCTTTGGAACTCCGAACGAGGATTTCTTGTTTTTCTGACCACAAAAATCTCCAAACTAACCACATACAGACCTTGCTGTGGAAGCCCTTGCCACTGATTCATCTCCATGACATTTTGTTGGAGATCAATCGGCTCCAAGTTGAACCACTCATAGGCCAAGCAGCTATAGACCCTTTTACTGTTTGTAAACAACATGACGTCAGCGAGAATGCGCGTGCAGCTTGGCAACAGAGAATGGCGTTGTTTCAGGCTTTATCAAGCTACGCTGCAGGGTTATCACCGGCAAATCTTGAATGTTATATTAGTAAACTCACTTTAACGAATGGCAACAGACTCCCGGATCCCTGTGGCATTACGGAATGGGTGGAAGATGTAGGTGCGTGGCCAGATATCCAGTGGCCCGATATATATACATTTTTAGTGGAGAGGCCCAGTAAGTACACACGTGAGAAGCTACGGGCATGCAAATCGTTAGATGCATACAACTATGTTGTCTGTGGCCACGTACAGAAAGTAAAATATCACGACATAGACTCTGAGTTTTGCGTCTTGAAGGCAGAAGTCCTTCCTAGCCAAAGACAAGGACACAAGACTGCTATGTACGAGGCTTGGGTCATAGTAAACAAACCAGAGAACTACGTCTTCACAGCCAACTGTACCTGCATGGCAGGGTGAGTATAGCGTAGGTTTCTTTTTTTAGCGTGCTCAGAGTACATTCGTGTTAATTTTAGAGAAATACAGTTTATACTAATATGCAGTGGGAAAATACAGATTAATTAGAATGAAATGTTAATTTGAAGCATGAAATAAAGCGTATAAATTTGTTTAATTCGGTCATTTTGATGTTCCAGACTTGGGTCATGCTGCAGCCACGCAGCAGCAATTTTATTCAAAGTTGAGCTTTGTGTTAGGATGGGAAAAACAGAAAAGGCTGCAGTTACATCTCAGGCATGTGCATGGAAAGACCTGAGCAGGAAAAATGTAGAACCAGCTCCACTGAAGAAGATCAGTTTCCACAAACCGAAGAAGTTTTGCATACAGCTCCCAGCTGCTTCCGAAACCGTTAGGAGGAGCAGTGTCACGCTAAGAGGCATGTAACGAATGACAAATGTGTATCGCCTCAGATTTTGTTGAAATGGATGTGCTCCCTTTGGAATTCTGTAAAGTTTCAGTCCACTGCTTGAAGAGAAGCGATTCTGGCATCCATACACGCAACAACCCGACATTTTTATGTGCTCAGAACTTCAAAACAAAGGGTTTAAAACGCTGTTTTAGTATCGAGTGTGAATGAGGAAGCCTTCACTCTCGTTGCCAGGCTGCGTGCGCAACTTTTGATGACGTAGGTAGTAAAAGGGTCTATGGAAGCCCCTGGAGAAGCTGCGTTATCTCCACTAAACATGTTTTGGTGACCGTTGAGGTACATTTGCATGCACTCCTGCTTGAGCTACACAGGGACGTGTGTAGGGCAGAGTCTGTGGCCATGCCTTTGTATAGGAATAATGAACGCTCATCAAGTGGAAGACAATGATCCAATAGTACTTAGGGGCATTAAAAGGCAGGACAACACGTTTATGGCCTTTGACTAAAGACAAAACAGAGTTGGTGTAAAACTCCCTTCCACACTTCTCCCGCTCAGCTAACAAGCCCCTTCCTCCCCTCCGCTCCCTCTCCACCTCTGACAGGCGAACAAAGGCCTGCAGCTTCACGCCGAGTCCGAACAAAGACACAAAACCCGGTCAGGGGGCGCTGGCTCAGGAAGAGGACACGAAGCAGAAAAGAGTTGGAGGATCAAGTGAGTATATGTGGTCGGACGGGCGAGATAACAAAGTGCGGCTGACAACTGGAGCTGACGTTTACTCCTCTTACTGGATTTATGGAGCCGTTTTGTGCTCACGCGCTTTGCTTCTCAACTCAGCCTTCGTTTATAAAGCACCTTACAGGCACGAGCATGCCACCAAGGTGCTGCACAACAAAAGAGTAAAACAACATATAGCGCCACAGACATAATTTAAACCACAAATAAGAATTACAAAATATAAAACATTAACAATTGCTAGCCCACAGAATTAAAAGCCAGATCAGCCTCATTTTAAAAACTGCTACTGATGGAGAGCCCCTAATAGCTAGGGGCAGTGCGTTCCACAGTTTCGGACCCGCAACAGAGAACCTCCTGTCCCCTCTCAACTTCAACCTAGCCTTAGGAGCCACAAGTAGCAGCTGGTTCTCAGAGCGGAGTGACCGGGCCGGAACATATGGCTGCAGCAACTCCGTCAAGTAGGCTGGAGCCACACCGATCAGCGCCTTAAACACCAATAAAAGAAGTTTAAAACGAATTCTAAAATCAACAGGCAGCCAAAATTGGTGTTGCGTGTTCATGCTTCCTTATGTTGTCCAAGAATCTTGCTGCAGCATTCTGGACAAGCTGCAGCCGGTTTACAGCAGCCTTACAAACACCAAAGAGTCGTGAGGTAATAAAAGCATGAACAACAGTCTCAAGGTCACGTCTAGATAAAAACGGCTTTACTTTAGCCAAACGTCTTACATGACAAAATGAAGAGGATCCTACAGTACCCACATGAGCATCCATGCAGAAGGCACTGTCCAGTTGCCTAAACAATTTAATGATTTTAATTTACGTTCCCTTTTGCCACAGTTAACTAGTGCTACAAATAACTGCACAGCTGAAAACATTCTGCGTGTTTGGTTTGGTGTCAGGTGAGTTTTAGCTCCTAAGACTGGTGTGTGTAGGAGGCTCGACTCCTCCAGAAATAAAAGAAAATCAAAAACAGACCTTTACTTTGAAAACCAGTGATTAGCACATACCAACAGACCCCCTCTATGCACATGCCCCCCCCCGACAGACTACAAAAAGTAGGCGGAGTCAGTGAGGACTCTGGGACATATGGTTCTGTCAGGGACCTGAGCGGTTCTTTCTTGGCGGTGGGGGTGGGTGGGTGGGGTGGGGGGGGGGGGGCTCTGCATCTCCTACTCCTCTAGAGGAGTATCCATCTGTTTGAGGAGGGGGTGTTAATGGTTTAACAACGTCAGAGCTTAACCTCTGCAGTCTGTACACTAGAGGCCACGTATTCCTGACAGCTGCGGAGCACAGCTTGAGCAACAGCAGGTGGACGGACCTCCTTAACAGCTATTGTTTACTTGAAAGCAGCAAAAGCTTCTGGGTCCTTAATTGTGCTTTTTGCTGTGAACGCTCCTCGTTTTCAGTGGGATAATGATGCAAATTTAGAGCATGGCACTTAAGATTTCACCTAACCACAAAAACACAATTTAACTCAATCATCATCTTACCGTTTATCTCTAAGTGCTCGGTGGAAAGCATAAACAGTCTTTTTGCAAAGTGCTTATTTGACATAAACACAGCAGCTGTGGGCGCTCTCACCTGGACTCGACGTGGTGAAAGAGGTTGCGCCATCGCTGACTTACTTCCTGCAGCGACCCGCGGACCTGGCCCTGCTTGGCCTCGTCGCTGGCCAACAGCAGCTGCTCTCCCAGCTGCATCAGGTGGCTCTTGTTCTCGCTGAACAAGTTGATTTCCTCCATACAGTCCTGTGGGGACAACAGGAGAGCATGTAGCTTCACCGACATCTGTAAGTCTAAAGCAACCAACAAAGCATGCAGATATTAGTTGAGTTTAAAAGGATTTAGAGGGCCTCTCGGTCAGCAACATTCTGAGCTTTATTCTTGATTTCTTCCACATTTACGCTCCATTCACCCTTAAGAGGGAATCTGTGTCTGACATCATAAAAAATGTTGTCTTTACCTCCAAATGTGACTTTTTCTGATTAGGAAATAAAACTTCAGTCTCCAAGGAGAATGTGATCCATTTTAAAATTGCCCATCAAGGCTGATGCTTCTATTGTAAACTTTTTAAAACAGAAAAAACAACAAGGACAACGTTCATCTATTTATATGCAAATAAGAGAATCCAGCTGTTCCCTCACTCTGCTTGTGCATTACCATGTTCTAAAGCAGGGGTGTCCAATCCTGGTCCTGGAGGGCTGGTAACCAGCAGGTTTTGTGGTTTTTTCTGCTTCAACACGCTTGATTAGCTGGTTGAATCACCTGTGCAGCAGCTCATCAGGCTCTGCAGAAGCCTGTTAATCACCTGCTGATTGAAATCAGGTGTGTTGAAGCAGGTTAAAACGAAAACGTGCTGGATACCGGCCCTCGAGGACCAGGATTGGACACCCCTGTTCTAAAGGGATACTTTGCAACTTTTTCATATTTTATTTTCTCGAGCCACTACGTGCCATGATGATCATTTACAGGGTTAAAGGTATAGCGGAGGATCTGAACCATCGGTCCGCATGAAGCCTAATTTATACTTCTCCGCCTGCGCCGGGACGGACGCACGCAACGCCATTATCCGTCCTTTGGAGAGCTCTGCAGCAGGCTCGGATGGACGGATGGAGTCGGGCTCTCTTTTCTAAACATCCGTCCAATGAGACGGAGAATGCAAGCTGATTGGTCAGTGCCGCCATTGCGCCCTCAAAAACATAAAGATAGCCAAATCTATCTAGCAGCAGACCCAGAGCAGGTTGAAGAACAACTCGTGGAAAAACTGTAAATTCCCCCGTGACTGGAGGAGTGAAAAGATGCGCAGCAAGCGTTTTATTTGTGGACGGAAATGACGGAAACGTGGGTTTGGAGGTGGCGAGGAGGATGAAGGAGAAATTAGTCTGTGTTAAAAAGTCTGAAATACAAAAAGCACAATATAAACACTACAGTAAAAGCACCATCTCGGACCGGTTGCGTGACAGGATTCCACAGAACAGCGCTACGCCCTCTAATGTCCTGGCGGGGAACTGCTTTGCAACGCTCCGCAGGAGACGGAGAAGTCCGAAGGCAACACGTCTCCATCCGTGTGCGTCTCTCCCTCGTGGAGCTGATGGAGACGTATAAATTAGGCATGACTGTCAATCACTCAGGTGAACCATCCACGCAAGGCCGTCGTCATACGTGCTCGTTGCTGGGTAGTTTTCACTTCCTGTGCATGCACAAAGCGAAGGATGGGCTCCCCATGGATGCCTCTGTCGCTGGTTTTCTGCTCGACAGGTGAGCTAAAATTAGACATGCTATTTGGAGAAATTAACTTCAGATTGCTGCTAGAAGTGCTGCAAGGCCGGCAGCTACTTGTAAACAGAGCGTGCATGAGTGTAACTGGGAGATGTCTCTCATGCACATATTTTTGTAAATGTGGAGGGGGCGGTTCTTTCCTGAAATTCAGAAACATCCACGTTCATACCTTTAATGAAAAGTCACTCAGACCACTCTGCCCTCTATGGCCAGAATACCACACTTGCAACTTCAGAGTGGCAGGCTAGCCCCTGTGGGACTTAGTAAGGTGGAGCTGACACGCCGGGCGCTGCAGTCAGCTTCCACCATGTTTTGGATTAGATTTGTTTGATTTAGTGATGAATCACTCCTGTGGACACTAAGGAAGGCTAAAGAGAAATTTAACTAACGGACACTAGGGGGCGCTAACAACAAGTCTTAACTGCTTAGTATCCCTTTAACAAGCTGGTACTGCTGGAAACGCTGATTAATTAAAGGTTTGGGCGTTTTAGATTAGAACTGTATTCCTGATAGTGGTCCAGTGGTCCAAGAGCTACTTTGGGTTCAGTTTGAACCTGAATCCTGCAAAAGAACGGGAGGGATGGAGTCTCGTTTTCCTGAAAATCAGCTGCAAATGCTACAAAACGACTTACATGAGTTTTAGACGCCTTTTTCCTGCCCTGAAGCGGTCCGTTTTCACCAGGAGGTGCCACTTTTCACTAACCTGAAAATTACACCTTAGCTTTAAGTGTCTGTAATATTTTAACCTCATTAAAAAATCCATCCTGGGATATTCAAACCAATTATCCTTTTGACCAAATGAGTCGTTAATTTTGAGAGAAAAGGAGCACAAAAAGCTTTCAGTCACTGAAAAGACCATCGTTATTAACAGGATAACGCTCGAGGCTCATGTATGGATTTTAATCAGGCCTAATTAGGTATTATTGATGCCCCAATAGAGAAATAATTAGAGCTGACTTTGTGCAACAACATCAACCCAAAAAGGGGAATTAAGTGCTTCAAACCTGAAGATTTAAATTAAAGGTTTGGGATTTATTTAATAAATCATCTCAATTTAATTTTAGACATTTTTAAGAGGAAATTAACACCAGAAAATGACTCAACGGCTGCTTAGACCCATGACAACAACAGAGCTACTGAGGATGGTGAAACATCTTCAGTCTAGTACCTTCTTCAGCTTCTCCACCCTCTCCTCGATGCTCAGATCTCCGCTCTGGCACACCTTGTTCTCCATCTGAGTCAGCCAATCACAGAACTCTTTGTTCTTGTCGTTGAAGATAGTCCACGCGTTGAGGCGGTCGGCGATCTCCTGCCTGCGTAAAGATACCTGGAAAGAGCATGATGACAGGAAGTTGTACTGTCCTTCAGCAAATGTAATGATAACTGAAAACTAGGGATGCACCGATACTGGAATCAGTATCAGTGTCCATACCAGTATCAGTATCAGTGCTAATACCATTATAGATACTGGTATACCAGTATCGGTATCAGTGCCAATACCATTATAGATACTGGTATACCAGTATCGGTATCAGTGCAAATACCAGTATCCATACTGGTATACCAGTATCGTATCAGTGCCAATACCAGTATCGATACTGGTATACCAGTATCGGTATCAGTGCCAATACCAGTATCGGTATCGATAAAAGTTAACCGATACCAATGCAGTTACTTCACTAGCCATGCTTACATTTAATCGGATTGAACTCCCAATCAGATAAAAAATTCTGCATGTAAACATGTCAGTCGGAATGTTCAGATCCGATTCGGCCCGATCGGAATGAAGTTTCAATCCGATTGAGAGAGGTGGTTTTGTCCGATCATCACTCCGATTGACGTGCATGTGCACAGCCATTCGGATTGTTGGAGTAAAATAACGCCCTCTGCGCATGTGTGCAACAGCTAGCGAGCCTCCCCGCCGTCATTTAGACTACCCGACTTAAAAAATGACGGCCTAATTAACGAGCGTCTGCTTTTAAATATGATGGCAAACCATCCCCGTTTCTGTAATATCTAATCCAGAACTTGTATTTTGTGGAAGTAAAATAAAAATCTGATTATTGCACAAAGCATTCGACAAACGTGTCCAAGTCTGTACTGGAAACACGCAGATTCATTTCAGGTTTGCAGCACAGATCCCTGTTTCTGTGAACGCAGCAGCTGTTTTTGCAGCAGGTGGATGGAGACGTGCTCGTAAAGAAGACCAGGTAACATCGGTTAATCACACCTGGTTTGAGTTTAAGGAGGCTGATGTTGAGTAGAAAAACATCCTCAGTTAAATGTTGTGGATGACTATCTGTGTAAAAGCACGTTAATGCAGCTGAGATGAGATGCAGTTCGTTTATTAACACATGATGAACGCATGATGAACGCATGATGAACAGATGATGAACGCACGATGAACGCACGATGAACACATGATGAACACATGATGAACACATGATGAATGCAGGCTTCCAAACTTTCTGAACATCTCGTGTTATAAAGTTTGAACCCTTTTTCCTCAACAGATTCAGCCGATTGTCTCATTGTATTTATAATAAACCACAACAGAGCTCAGCAATAACACGAGTCTGACCCCGACTGCAAACGCTGCTTTGTGAGACTAAAGGATTGCCACATTTCAGGGACACGTGTTTGAGTGACCTGTTCTAAATGCTCATGCAAACCAAACTGAAAAGAAACGTTTATTAATTTTTTTTATTTTTGCTAGAGTAATTAGATGCATTTTCCCCAAATTTGCATGCAAGTAAAACTTTAACAAAAACAAAAAATATTCTCTAGTTCTGAAATTTATATAAATATACTATTTAGTTTTCTTTTCTCAAAACTTTCTGATAAAACTGCAAACATTTAAAGGTTTAACAAAACAGGTGTGTGTACCAAAGATGTAAATCCAGACTAAAACAAGGTTAATTGTGACGTTAGTCTCTGGTATGCATTCAGGAAACACCGTGACCCAAATTTAATGCACAAAGAAGCATTTTCAGACTGAAACTCTGTTGAATTACTGCAGATGCATTCCTAAACCTCTTCAGTTACAAAATAGCACGGCTACATTTTACAGAAACACTAAAAACAAGGTTAAATCAACAAAATCATGAACCGTTCTCTTGTTGGAGTGGACCAGCGAGGACGTTTAATCTATCAAGATCAGTAATCAGAAACCCCCGAGAGAATCCGGCTATTTGGTCAAATTAACAAGGTCCATTTTCCTAATGACAGCTTAATGCTGCTAAAACACTCTGCTACACTTCTGAGGAGGGGGGTTGATGATCTTTTTGAGATTTCAGGGTTTAGTTCAGAAGCATTTCTTATATTAAAATGAGCGCTGCTTTGGTGTTAATGCCCGGCTCCAGATGGCCCTTCTGGACTGTGAGGAATCTGGGATGCATTGTGAGCAGCAGTCACCCTGTGAGGACTTTGTGGAGCCTCAGGAACAATAGATCAGCTCCCTTCGTCCTCTGACCAGCCAGACCATCTGCTCAGGAGGAGGTTAATGATGTCTAGAAAAGCACTGTATAAGTTCAATGCATTATTATTATTATTATTTATTTCTTTTAGGAGCCTTTAAGGAAACTCTGTTCTTTCTCTAGAGGGATAAATCCGACTCAAACTCCAAACATTCCTGAACTAAGACCAGAGCAGGTGGAAGCAGCCTCTCTAAACCTCAGCAACCAATTAGGATGAGCCTAAATGGCCCAACAGCTCCTTTATAACTGACAGAAATGTCCGGAGCTTGTTGTGCACCGACTGTTATTTACAGGGGAACGGGTGTGCACTTGTGTTTAAGCTAAAAGACTTAGCTGTAGGAATGTGTGGCACTTTCAACAGGATTAGCATGCTGAAAGGACTCAGGAACAAATACTCTTGTATTCTGATGCAAAAAAGGAGAATAAAAGCAATCAAATCCACATTTAATGTGAAGTTTGGGCACTTTTAAAGCAGATTTGTTAAAAAAAAGCAAGTGAATCTGATGTCTAGAGAGACGAGATGCAGTTTTCCCTCCAAGAAACTCCACATGTTGAATCTTTTATCCAAAAAAAATCTGTGTGTGTATGTGTGTTTACCTAAAGGATTGGGGTTGCAGGATGCATCTCTCCACCTGCTTCATCCACAATCACCTTCAATTTGTTTCTAGAAAGTTTTCTTTTCTCACCTTCATGCACAACTCTTCCCACTGACAGTGGAGCTGCTCCAGCTGCTGCTCCAGCAGAGCCGAGTCGCTGGCCGCCACGTACTGGGACAGGTCCGTCTTCATGGTGGCCAGTTCCTCCAGTCCAGTGGCCAAACGCTGCAGAGAGAGCGCGGTCTCCTGCATCACACACACACACACACACACACACACACACACACACACAGAGAGAGTCAGACAGCCCTGTAAGCTGTGTGTCCAAGCTGCTTTACCTCACACTCGTGTTTGCTCTGACCATCCAGATTAAAGAGCTGTGGACCGGCCGGGGTGGTGTGGGGGTGGGGGGTAGAAGGGATAAAAAGGGGGGGGGTGGAGTGAAAGCATCGGGGTATTTAATAAGAAAAACTTGGAGAGGGGGTGGGGGCTATAATGAGTTTCTTTTTCACCTCAGAATGCAAAGTTATTAAAGGAATCGTAACTGCTTCGTTACAAATCACCCTCACAAATGATTAAATCCACCCTCATTAGGGTGTTTATGGAGCTGCAGCATTAAGCATGGATTAGATCTGAGTAGAAATAGTTCAGTCAGCATCACCTGGATCAGCGTCTCCTCTTCAGATCCTCCTGGCCTCCCGGTGAGCTGCTGCCTGACCGCATCCAGCTGAGACTGGATGCTGCTCATCGCTCCCTGACACCGAGCCCACATCTGCTCAAGAATCAGACACACAACATGTCTGATCCAAAGATGTCCATGTTGCACTTAGAAATAAAACCCCCTAAATAAACACAAGTAGGTATTGGCTGTTTGAGATTTCATTTCCCTCTGGGGGATCGTGTCGGGCTTGGACCAACTCCACCTGACCTCTGGGGTCACCAGAACAGCCAGATGTCACACGGCTGCTGGAACCCAGCCCACAATGATCACTAAAATGTCACATCTAGTAGAAATGTCTACTTCATGTGCATCTTCTTAACGAGTACAAGGCTAAAGGGGCGTCCTGGTGACAGATTTCTAATGTGGGTCAGTGTCGTATAACCCAATGTGAGATACGGCTGTGTTACAGTGATGGAATGACTCTGGTACCCAGCTGTCTCTGGATGTGGATCATGAAGAGATTTGATCCCTCTCTGCATGAGCACATGGCTCTAACACACCAGTGTGTGTGTGTGTGTGTGTGTGTGTGTGTGTGTGTGTGTGTGTGTGTGTGTGTGTGTGTGTGTGTTGGATTTGGGTCATTCTAAGCAGACCATTCCTCTGCATTGTTGACGTTATAGAACATCCTTTCTTCTAGAGTTCATCTCTGATGTTTAAATGAGGAAAAACAGAAAATCTACTCCACTGGTGCACCATTTCCAGGAAATAGAAGTGAGCCACTTCCCACCTGAGCTTTGGATGGCAGCATTTGGACATCTCTCTTCTGATTGGACAACAGCAACATGACTCCACCACTGGCTGTGGTGGACTCTGCAACGTTGTTAAATCTCCACTAATTACACAAGCCTAGAGGAGCTCTGCTGTGTGTGGGAGTTGCTAATGCTAACAGTTAGCTTCTACTAGCATTTTCTGCGGTTTCCTGGACGCTAAACCAACAGCCTTCCCCATCGTGAGTCAAGACGGGTGAGTCCATGAATGATCAGTGACAGTGTGACGTAGATCTGTCAGGATTTTCAAATCCTAGAGTTTCACCGTCTGTTTTCTACCAGAAGCTAAAGCAGGAGATAGGTGTAGGAGACTATTTTCATGTTCAGCCTGTGTGAAAAACTCAGAGTGACTCATTATAATCAGAAAGTTTTAGAAGTTTTTTCTTTAAGTGTTTCACCCATTTAAATGCAAAGTTCTTAAGTGTTTCTGGAGATTTGTATTCCTCCATCAAAGCACCAGATCTCATAAGTTTTACCTGCACAGCAGTAAAAATCAGATTTTTATTTGTCTTTAGCTCTTCGCTGGTTTGCTTCCAGGCCTCTTCTACATCCCGAAGCTCCATCAGCAGCCGGCTCTGACCTTCCGACTCTGTCATGGTTTCACACAAGCGTTTGCCACCTTCTACGGTCTGGGCGTGCACACCGGAGTGCAGATTCAGCAAGTCTTCAACACACTTCAGGAGAAATCAGAGGAAGTCTGTTTGAGTTTGGTTAACATTTACAGCACTGTGCTCTTCTAGAAGACCCGACCTGACCTGGTACAGAGGCATGCAGCTCTGCTGCTGGTGCAGCGTGTACTGAGAGGGTCCTGTGGGAGGCAGAAGAGAGCCCACGGCCCCCAAAAGCTTCGTCAGACATTTCAAACCACGACGGTAGAGTCCCCACTGTTGCAGCTGGTTCTTCGTGGAGATCCAGTTCTGGTAGGTCACAGCCAAAGAACCGAACCAGCTTCTCTTCATACAGGCTGCCTGCATCATGATTTCAGATCTGTGGTGCACAACAAGTGGTTAAATGAGTGATTCACTTGGAGAAAAACTGAAAAAATAGATGATTTTGTGAAGACAGGAGGTTGTTGCAGCTAGAGGAGTGGACCTCTGATTGGAAAACCAGAGGGGTTTCCGAAGGAAACAATCCACAGAGACTCACTCATAATCATCTCATTTCTGGAAATAACAGATGTCCTCGGATTTAGAAAAGCTACGGATATAAATATACACAAAACATCTTCTTTATTTATTCTAAAAACCTTTTCTCTCCGGTTTCCTTCTCCATGGACCGGACGGCCTCACAGAGAAGATCCTGCATCACCTGGTTCCCAGTGATGATCTCAGCCTGCAGCCTCTGTGGGAGGGAGCCACCATAAATCTGTCTTTAGAACATTTTCTCATTATTATACTGTGAATAAGGCAAGTCAGTTAAAGTATTGGTTTATTTTATCAAAAAGACATTTATGGCTCAACATAGGCTGAAGAACCCAGACGCCCTCAAACAACCTCTGATATGAGAAAAAGCTGCCTATGATGAAGAAAATGAAGATTTTTTTTTCTGTGTAAAAGTTTAAACTGACATTGTTCATAGCTTCCTGAACAGCCTCTGTTCAGAGAAACAAAGTTAATATTCCCCAGGACTGGTGAGCTAACGGCTAGCATTAGCACAGTCATGGATGAAGTGAACTGCTGCCCTGTTGGACCTTCCTCTCCCCAGCCACCACCAACAGTGGGATCTGAGGAGTTCCCAGGCTAGCCTAGACGTGTCCTCAGCTGACCACGTGCTTCCACCACTTCTGGTCAAGAGAATTGTTTTGGGCAGAAATATAAAAAAAATCATATCAGGACATATATGGAGGACAAGGAAGTCCCACAATCTGCTGCTGGTATCTTTACTCTTGAATGTGTAAATAACTGAATAATGCCGGGGGGGGGGGGGGGGGGGGGGATTAATAATGAGACTTTTTGTGCTCAACATTTTATTTATTTATCTCTACTCTGTCTGGAAGAGGATTAGAGCCACTGACGAGAAAAAATAAATAAATAAAAAGAAAGAAAAGAAGGAGAATTCTTACTTTAATCTCAGAATTCTGATAGGGAATTCTGAGATTAAAGTCAGAATTCTGTTTCTTTTTTTATTCAGAATTCCGAGATTATAAATCAGAATTCTGAGAAAAAAGTCAGAATTCTGTTTCTTTTCTTATTCAGAATTCCGAGATTAAAAGTCAGAATTCTGAGAAAAAAGTTAGAATTCTCTCTTTTTTTTTCTTCTTTTCAGTGGCCCTAATCCTCTTCCGTACCTCTGACTTTACAGAGGGAACTGACCTTTGTTTAATACAAATATTCTTTTCGTGAGGAAAATTTAACATCCAACTCTCCTGAACTTCTTCACATTGTCTGTCTGTCTGCAGTAAAGAGTTACAGGAACTTTTAATTATAATTAATGTAAATTTATTAAAATTCCATCTAGGGGTGGGCAATATCATGTCATTCATAATATTACCAGTCATTATTTCCTGCCAAGGAAAAAATAATGTATCATGTTAAGCTAACTTCATGATGTAGTTGCCTCCGCTAAACAGGATTATGTTCATGTGGGTCATCAGCATGAAGTTATTGAAGTTATCAAAGCAAACATGGCTGGAATCAGTTCTACTGTAATCTGTGTCTCTAAGTGTGTGCTGCTGTAATGAGGGGATGTCCCCACTGTGGGGCTAATAACATCTATTCTATTCTATTAATTCATATCAGCCAGTAGGGAAAAAAAAAACGTTTGAGGAATTTTGGCCTTTCCAGGCTTCCATACCAGTAACCTGGTTATGGACGACGGGTTCGTCTCACAAACAGGAAAAACACACAAGTGAAGCGGTGAATTAAACAGTGGATTCCTAATGTTTTAATTCACCGCGTCACAAACTAACGTAGGAGGGGGAACATGTGACCGAGTCACCACAGTAAAAAGCCCAGCTTGCATTAAGCAGCGATCTTTGGCTGATGAGAGAAAAAAGAAAAACATTCTGGACTGAAGCTCCGTCCACACCGGCTAGCGACGCGGCTGCATTTCTACATAAAGCATGTCGTTATGGCAGCGTGCGCAGCCGCAGCTCACGGTTCTGGGAGAAAGAACCGGGCATGCCCGTCCCATTAACAGCAGGTGTAGCTCACCGCTTCGCCCGTCTCACAACCAAAGCGGGAAAAAGCGCATCGGCTTGGATTATTATGTGTGAAATAAACCAGTTAAATTATTACTGTTCAGTAGCTAATGCTAGAATTAATATCTGTTTTTTTCATAAGCCCTACACACTGTGCGTGATGCGCGTTTGGGGAGCGCAGGTGCTGGTTTAGCGTGAGAGATTGGAGGTGTGGCATGACAGCTCGTGAAGAGGGTCAAATGCGTGAGAGTTGGCAGCCCTGCTGTTAGCGTATCAGTCGAGAAGGCAGTAAAAAGCTTTTTCCCCCAACAGGCAACTGAAGCGGTTTCACCACAAACTTCACAGAGTGGATAAGAGAGATGGGTAAAATGCTAAAATGTTGTTTAAACGGTTGTTTCAGGCTGTCGGAGGCAAACGGACAGAAGCTGCAGTGCATCACACCTGCTGCACAGGAAGCATCTCCAGAAGGTCGGAGTAACTCTGAGGCCTTCTGCACACAGACTCTCGCTCCAGCTTCTCCTGGATCCATTTCAGTTCCTCACACTTCTCCTGGAAGTCATGGGTGGGCTGAAGCTCATCGTGAACATGTCTGTAAACATAAAAATAAACAGCTATTTTCCTCCAGGTTCACCACTGATGTAGTTTCTTTACGTTTCTGATTAGATTATACATATTAGAAAGTGAACTCGTTGCACCTGTTTCTGTCTGATGCTCGTTTCATGCTTTCCACCCACTGCCTGCAGAGCGACTGGACCCTCTCTACTTCCCGGTTGTTAAGGGTAACGACGCCACTCGTCTCCCTAATATAAACTAGTAATGGTACCAGATGACTGAGCTCTGAAAGAACCTGCTGGGAACACAAAACAGAAAATAAGAAACACATTTTCCCTTTTTTTTATGGATCCACATCTTCCTCGGTTGCGCGCCTACAGCTGGTGCAGAATGCAGCGGCCCGCCTGTTAATGGACACCAGACGAAGGGAGCACATTACTCCTGTTCTGGACAAGCTGCACTGGCTCCCAGTGCGCTACCGCATCCAGTTTAAAATTTTACTTCTTGTTTTCAAGTCACTCTTTATGCGCCTCTCTACTTGGCTCAGCTGGTTTAGTCTTACCTGCTCGAATTCTTCGGTCAGCAGCCTGTTACAGGTCCCAAGTGTTCAAGTGAGGACACGAGGAGAACGAGCGTTCTCAATCTGTGCGCCTCGTCTCTGGAACCAACTCCCTCTAGCAGTGAGAATGCCCCCTCTCTCTGATTTTAAATCACGCCTGAAGGCTCATTTTTATTCCTTGGCTTTTACTTCAGCCTAACTGGCATTTTACGATGTTTTATTTTTATTGTTTTTACAGTAGTTACGGTACTACTTTTATTACTTCTTCCCGTGGGTTGATTTTATGCTCTTTTACTGTGCAGCACTTCGGTTGGCCTCGGCCGTGTAGAAATGTGCTTTATAAATAAAATGGAGAAGGAATTTTTAGTTAAAATTTGGAACGTTACAGAAAAATACTCGTTTGTAGCTTAACCAACCTTGCCAGAGTCGGTTTCCGGCATGTCGGCCTGGAGTTTGTCCAGCAGCTTCCTCATCTGTTCCTCAACAGCATCCGCTTGAGTTTGAAAATGTTTTTGTTGTTCCAAATCCTCCTGCACACGAAAACATATTTCAGAATTCAAAAAAACGCACAAAAACTTCAAATAAGATGTAAAACTCCTGTGATCCTCTGACCTGAACCCTTCCCGTTTTCCCTGATATCGCCTGGTTCAGCAGCAGGACGTCACGCGTCAGCAGCCTGGTTTCTGATTGGATTAAACCTGCAGCCAGCGGTTCGAGACGTCCAATGAGATGCTTTGATGCTGCCTGTACACCTCCCACGCCGCTTTGCAGCTCTTCTGCAGCACCTTGTAACTTCTGGAGGAAGAAGAAAGTTCATTTGATGAAACAAAAACAGAAAACAGGTTTTAAACATCGAGCCAGAACTGTTTTTAACAGGTTTCAGATTCATTTGGTGCTTTTCTCCTGGCTCTAAGTGTTCCCACCAGGTCTCGCTCCTGTGTACTTTGACAAAAGCAGCAGTGTGAAGGGAAATCTATAAATAAAAGCTTGAAAACATTTTGTTTTTGGTCAAACGAGCAGGAGATGTCCTCCGTGTTTGGCGGGAGGGGAGGGAGGTTACGTGTACTCAGGTGGACGAACAAAGAGCTGATGCTTCCACCCGTCGGCACACGCTGCCTCTTCCATTCCAGGAATAGAAAACCAGATATTGGAGAAAAGAATTTAATTAAATTGTGAACGTAATGCATGGACTCTCTGAACCTGCACCAGGAACATGATGAGTCAGGCAGGAATGAAATATTTAAAAAAGAAATAAAAGAGAAATCTGCTTTTGGCAGCTGGTTCTGATGCTCTCCTCTTCTGTCCTCGCCCGGCTGAGGTTTGTTTTCTGTGTCTGTTTACTCCATCAGCTCGTTATAATCCACTAAAACACATAAATACAACAGATTCTGTCCATCTGTGCCACTGACATTCAAATCTGTGGATTATGTTGAAAGTAGTTATGGATTTGGGGATCTTATGAGATTAAAGTTGGATTTTTCTGGTAGGGTTGCATTTAAATACCTCAAACTCACCTTGAGAGAAGAAACAAGGGCTTGCGGGTCTTTCTCAGGTGAAGAGCCCGATGACTCCTCCCACTCGTGCCACAGGTGCTGCAGGTGGCGAGAGCAACCGTCTGAAAGCTGGCTGTATTCCTTCCAGAGGGAGAAGATCTCGCCGGTCTTTATGCGCTCGTCTTTTACTTGTTGCACAGTTTCTTTCCAGCTAAGAATAAACAATAACAGCACTCAAAAAAAAAAAAAAAAAAAAAAAAAGCTCTCCGTAATGTTAGAATAAATGTGTGGGATCAAAATCACATGGTTACATTTAAATAACTGGTACTGAACGCTATTAGGATGATTGTGACCAAATAAAGGGGACAAGTAAACTTAAAGAGACTTTTAAAATAATGTTAATTATTATATTAGCTAATATTTAGCAAGATACCGGTATTTATAGTACTTTTGTTTTGATTGCTTTTTTTTAGGGTGGGCAAAGATGAAAGTGAATTTTTTAAATATCTTTGTTATTTTGGTACCAGTTAGTGACCATTTGGCAGAAAAAATATATATATTGCATTTTTTTGAAGAAATATTCTGTAAAACCTCTCAGTGACTCCTCAGTGGTGAGGTCTTGTTTTTATCAGTTACGCCGCCTAACTCGTTTAGGACCAATCTTAAAGAGGAAGCACTTGGAATCAGTCATCCACGCTTTCATCACCTCTCGCTTGGACCATGCTAATGCATTATTAGTTGGAACTCCTGTTTCTGCTCTGAACCGGTTGCAGGTTGTCCAAAATGCAGCTGCTAGGTTTTTAACAAACACAAGCCGACAAAGCCGTATTACACCAGTCCTGGAACATCTTCACTGGCTCCCCATCACATTTCGTGTGCGTTTTAAGATATTGATGTTTGTTTTTAAAGCCCTGCACGACCTAGCTCCTCCTTATCTGTCCGACCTGCTGACTCCCTATGCACCTACTCGTATGTTGAGGTCAGCTGACCGTCCACTCCCTGCCTGTCCTACAAATCACGAGAAGAACGTGCATTGGTCCATGCTGCCCCCATGCTCTGGAACTCACTGCCCATTACAGCGTCTTGGCTGCTGCCGTGGATCTGTCGCTGTCGAGGCAGATGGCTCCACTGATGATGTGTCGTCCATTACCTGACCCATCTGAACTCAGCCTATTGTTTACTCTGTTGTTCACGTGTGTTTGTTTGTGTGTGTGTGTGTGTGTGTGTGTGTGTGTGTGCGTGTGTGTGCGTGTGCGTGTGTGTGCGTGTGTGAGTGTGTGTGTGTGTGTGTGTGTGTGTGTGTGTGTGTGTGTGTGCGCGTGCGCGCGTGAGTGTGCGGGTGAGTGTACGTTCACTTTGGAAGTTGGTTGCGGGAGGGGAAGTGTAATTGTCATTTGTTTTAAACTTAGGGAGGGGGGCTGGGATGGGAATATGGGATCTATGGGGCCATTTTAATCTGTGAAACACTGAGTTGCATTTTTTGTGTGAAAAGTGCTATATAAATAAAGTTGATTTGATTTGATTACAGTTGGGCTGGCATCCTCTCTGCCTGTTTTTAAATCTCGTTTAAAAACCTACTTTTATGACTTGGCTTTTAGACAGTGATTCATGTGATCATATTATGATTTTATAGTTTTTATTGTTGTGTTTTATTTTCTTATTGTTTTTACTTTTGTTTTAAATTGATCCTGCCTGTTCAGCACTTTGGCCAGCTCTCACGCTGCGTCCTAAATTGAGCTATAGAAATAAAGTTGGTATGGTATTCCACAGGATATTTTATTTTGAAACTCTAATGTAATTGCCAACATTATGAGGTAACAGTACCATCACACATGTGACATTGAATGTTATTTGATCAACTTTCTTTTGTTTTGTTACGTGGTGAACCACCCACGCCACTCCACCCACCGCTTCCGCTCTTCTTCCACCTTTTGACCGAGCGCCTGAGCCGTTCCTTCGTGGAGCGTCTCCAGCAGCCTCCGATAGGATTCTTCCACAGCGGTCCAAAGCTGCTCTTGCTCTGCTTCCACCTTCACCTGCAGCTCCTGTGTGAAGGAAATTAAAAAAAGAAAACATTTCTTTCATGCTCACTTTCTGGAAGTACATTCAACTTTCCCTGAAAAGTGAGAACACAGACTGAAAAGAGCTGACAGCTTGAAGTCCATGAATGCCCACACGTTTACTAAACCTGTCTAAACTGGACTGAGAGGCTTTTAAGTGCATTCACCTCTAGCTTCAGACCCACAAAGGACCCCATTGTCTTGTTTTCAAACAACGGTTGTAGCTTTAGATCTTTTTTAGATGATGAGATGTTATTTAAATGCATTTGTTCTGGGGGAAGTTTTGCAGCTTTTATCTGTACAAGTATCTGACCTGGAGGAAGCCTGAGCATCCCTCAGCCTGCTTCAGTGAGAAGAAAGGAGCTCTCTGGCGCTGCAGGGCACAGCGCACCCTGGTGGCAAACAGAGCAACATCCCCCAGAGCTCTTCGGAACAAAGTCCACTCCTCCACCACCTCCTGAAGAGCTGGTCTGAGAGCTTCCATCTGAGAAAATCAACCAGAAGCAAAACTGGGTGATAATTTAAAACCAAATGCAGTTTGGAGAATATATGTCTTCTTTTTCAACAGGCTTATTTTCTATTTCTACAGGGATAAAACTGTTTACTCCTCATGAATTAAATATAACAACAAAATACAGATGAATATTGTTATTAATAATAATACATATTATTATTATTATCATCACTGAGTCTGTCGAGGGTCTGTTGATAATTTTATATGAAACATTGTGCACTTTTGAACTGAATGCCTATTTCAAAACTAAGCAAAACTATGCAAAAACTATTTTCCTCTGTGTCCGCTGACTTGTGTAGCCAAATCCTGCAGTTTTTCTTAAATAAGATTACTGTAATCAGAGCTCAGATTCACCAAACCAACCATGTTCCAGATTCATTTATCCCCTCTCACGGGCAACTTCAAAGCTTTCAGCCCATCTCTTTGGCCTGTCTAGAAAAAACTGTTGCAGCCATGAAACCCTCTGGCTCCCCAGATGACGTCATCCCACCTCGACTCCTGAAAGAGGTGTTTCCTTTAATTAGCAATAACGTGCTAGGCATTATAAATAGTAGCTTGACATTGGCTGAAGTTCCTCGTGCCTTTAAACACGCAGTTCTACAACCAATCTTGAAAAAACCCGGCCTCGATCCCACCGATTACTCTAATCTACGACCAATTTCCAAATTACCGTTTTTATCTAAGGTCCTTGAGAAAATAGTCTATGCACAGTTGGTGAAACATCTAAATGAATATCAGGTAATGGACACCTGTCAGTCTGGTTTTAGACAACAGCACAGCACTGAAACTGCTCACGTTCGGGTGTTTAATTACATTTTTCTGGCTTTAGATTCAAGTTTCCATGTGGTTCTGGTACTTTTGGATCTATCCGCAGCATTCGACACGATCGATCATGACATTTTGATCACAAGACTTCACACTTGGGCTGGCATTTCAGGCACTGCCCTGGATTGGTTTAGGTCATACTTTTGTAACAGGTCTGCTAGGATCACGTTGGACGGCTGTTCATCAGAGTCACAGCCTCTACGTTGGGGTGTCCCACAAGGTTCAATTCTCGGCCCGTTACTGTTCAACCTCTATATACTGCCCTTAGGAGCCATTTTCAGAAAGCACGCTGTCGCATACCATCTTTACGCTGATGACTGTCAAATCTACTTTTCATTTAAGCCAACTCAATCAACGAAAGTTCTGTCTGATTGTATCCTCGAGGTCAAGCAATGGCTAGCTGACAACTTCCTCCATCTCAATGACTCCAAAACTGACTTAATCGTTTTCAGTCCTAACAGTATCACGGCAACTCAACAACCTGACCTCAACTATCTCTCACCCAATGTATCCTCTGTAATCTCCAACCTTGGAGTAAAAATGGACCAGGCTCTGAAGATGGATGCCCAGGTCAATAACACAGTTAAATCATGTTTTTACCAACTAAGACGCATCTTAAAACTAAAGCACATCCTGAGTGTACGTCTTCTGAAATCGGTGGTCCACACTTTTATCACCCCAAGGCTGGATTACTCCAACTCCTGCTTATACGGCATCAGTAAAGCAGCTCTTTCTAGACTTCAGCTGGTCCAGAATTCAGCAGCTAGGTTGCTGACTGGAGCTGACAGAAGACAACACATTTCTCCAATTCAGGATAAACTTCAAAATTACGCTTCTCACTTACAAATCCTTGAACCATCAAGCTCCTCCATATCTGTGTGAACTTGTCCATTACTACAACCCGCCACGTGCTCTCAGGTCCGAAGATAAGCTCCTCCTAGCTGTTCCGAATGCTCATTTAAAAAGCCGTGGAGAAAGGGCTTTCTCTGTCTGTGCACCGAAGCTGTGGAACGCATTACCACTGCTAGTGAGGCAAGCACCAACAGCTAGCATTTTTAAATCACGCTTGAAAACTCACTACTTCAACCTAGCTTATACAACATAATTATGGACCTCACTGACATCTGCATTGTTTAAAATTGGACTCCACAATTATCCACTTCCGTATTATTGAGGTTCTTTGTAAAATGTTTTTTCCTATTTTTATTCACCCTGTGTCTTAATGATTTTGAGCTGTTATTTTTGGGAATTTTGTTGTATTTCCTTTTTATCTTTTATCTGTGTTCGACATGTTTATATAACGCCGGTTTAATTAACCAACATTTTTAGTGTACAGCGCCTTGTTTGGTTGTAATGCCTTGTGAATGCGCTTTATAAATAAAATTGGATTGGATTGAATGTATGAAAACAATAAAGTTTAAGCACCGTTTGTGATGTTTTTACAAACTTGTTTTCCTAAAAATTGGAAATGACCGTAATAGTACTGAAAAGGATTAGATTAGAGGCTCTGAAAATAAAAACATAAATGAAAAAAATTGTACTTTTTTTTCTCAAAAGTCAAAAAGTCAGAATTCTGACATTAAATTCAGAAGATTAAGGTCGGAATTCTAAGAAAAAAGTCAGATTTCTGATATTAAAATCAGTATTCTGAGATTAAATTCTGAGAATAAAGTCAGAAGTTTGAAGTCAGAATTATGAGAATAAAGTCAGAGTTCTGAAATTAAATTCTGAATTCTGAAATTAAAAACAGAAGATTAAATTCAGAATTCTGAGATTAAAGTCAAAACTTTGAGATTAAAGTCAGTATTTCAAGAAGAAAATCAAGTTTCTGAGATTAAAGTAGAAATTCTGAGGTTAAAGTAAAAATTCTGAGACTAAGTTCAGAATCTAAGATTAAAGTCAAAATTATGAGATTAAAGTCAGTATTTCAAGAAGAAAATCAGGTTTCTGAGATTCAACTCAGAATTCTGAGATTAAAGTCAAAATTCTGAGATTAAAGTCAGAAGATTAAATTCAGAATTCTGAGATTAAAGTCAGAAGATTAAATTCAGAATTCTGAGATTAAAGTCAAAGTTCCGAGATTAAAGTCAAAATTCTGAGATTAAGTTCAGAATCTAAGATTAAAGTCATAATTCTGAGATTAAAGTCAGTATTCCAAGAAGAAAATCAGGTTTCTGAGATTAAATTCAGAATTCTGAGATTAAAGTCAGAAATCTGAGATTAAATACTGAATTCTAAGAAAATGTCAGATTTCTTAGTTTAAACTCTGAATTCTGAGGAAACAAGTCAGAATTCTGACTTTTTCTTAAAACTCAAAAAGTCAGAAATCTAAGAAAATAAGATTTCTGACTTTTTTCTCAAAAATCAGTATTATTTTTCTTTTCTTATTTTAGGTCCTAATCCTCTTCCGTACTCAGAGTCCCATTTCTGTGCGGTTAAAATCAGCATTTTTGTGGTCGTCTAACTTGACAGTTTTGTCCCTCGCCTAGATCAGGTGCCTGATTCAGCAGGCCAGCCCTCGTCTCTGTCCCCACGCTGCTCCAGATTTACCTGTTTACTGAGATCCACACAGGCCTGACTAACGCACGCTGTTCGCTCAGCGAAGGCCACATCACTCGGGTGCTTTTCACTGTTCTTGTAATAAACTCGTGTTTCTCTCAACTCCTTCAGAGCTGCAGAAACCTCCTTCACTCTGCCATCAACAGCCTGGAAGACAAATAAAGTATCCCAGAGATCAGAGGAGAGTAAACTAAGAAAGCATTTGGTGATAAATACTCATCTATTGGCTTTCCATTAGCGTACCTCCCACTCCAGAAGAGTCTTCTGAGCCAGAGTTTGACTGGTGGGCCGTTTCCACTCATGCAGCTGCTTTCTCTGCTCCTCCATCCAGCCGTGAAGTCTCTGCAGATGTGCCTCTCGCTCTGCACAAGCGTGATGGATGTGCTCAACATCACGAATCTGAAAAGGTAAATCAAACATGCTTTAACTAAAGTCTACAAATAGAAAAGCCAGGTTTTTACTGTGAGTGCAAAACATTTCATGAAGTTGTTACAATGTGCATCTGCAACTGGATACGCAGAGTTTACCCGTGTCTCCAGCTCCCTTTGAAGGAGCAGCCACTCTAATCGGGCATTCCCGAGACCCTCTGCAAACGTGGAGCGCTCCGAGCCGGGAGCCTGGAGGTCTGCTGCTGCCATCTGAGGTCCAGGCTGCGACATGAAATCAAGGAGGTGTTGCACGTTGGCCACAGCTGTCCTCAAAACCTGGGAAACGACATTAAACAGGACAAAATCAAAGAAAAAAATGTGTTTTATGATAGATGCATCTAAAATGATTCATTAAATCTGTGTTAATGACATGAAAAACAAGAAAAATCAATGCATGTCTGTCTAAAATGAGTCAACTTAACTTGGAATAAGAGCTTTAACACTTAAGAACAACATTTTATTAGAATTCCTGTTTTAAGCTGGTTCAAGTACCTGATATTTCTGCAGGATTTCTGCAAAATGTGCAGCACTTTTGGCCTCCCGGACCCGTTCTCTCCCCCGGTTAATCTCAGACTCGACTTTTTTCAGCCAGTTTTCCAGTTCAGACAACAGCTTGAGCGGCGGCTGCAGAACCAGCAGACCCTAACAGAAATAATTCATTAGAGCAGAATCTAGTTGAGCCTTCAACACATAAAACAGCTCAAACTTAATTAAGCTCATGGCCATCAAACACAGTCGTACATCAAACATCTGCTCCTGTCTAATAAGAGCTTGGTTATGAAATCCTTGACAAGATAAGATCTCGTCATCTGCTGGAGCGATTTTCAAATTTCAGGACATCAAACTAAACATCTGGAGGAAAGAAACAGGGAAAATCAGAGTAATTACAGCACTGCCAAATATCTGTTTCCATTCACTGGTGATAGATGGTGAGGAAAAATTAAGCATGACCTTCCTCTCCATTTCCTCCCATCTTCAACCCCCCCCCCCCCCCCCCCAGAGGGGTTTCAGATGGGTTCGAATGGATCCTCCCTCACCAGAGGGGATGTTTCTCTGCCTAATTATTTTTGAAAACAAGCAGCACTTGAAGATGCTGGAGGTCTGGAGATCACCGTGACCGCCGGACTTCATGCTAACTTGTCACAGAAAAGTTTTGCTAAAATGAACTTTCACCTGCTGGAGACGGTCCTGAATCTGGGACAGGTCAGAGGTCATCTGGCTGCAGCTGGCGTCTAACTGAGAGAGCAGAGTTCTCAATTTGAGACAATCAGCTCGTCTCAGGTGGAGAAGCGGCGCGGCGTCCTTCGATACGGACTCTCTGAGCGCTGATGCAGCCTCCAGCTCCATGGAGATGTCCTGAGGGTTAAAGAGTCTACTTTCAGTGACACTCGTCGTGATTTTGTGTCTTTCCTCTGCATTTTGCACAATCCCAATCACGGACACAAAATCATGGGAATCATCAGAATGGATGTAAACAAATGCAATAAAAGCTCATGATAGTGAACTCATGTGGAGGACCTCACCAGCAGCTTCACCAAACTGCTCTGAACGCCATCATGACTTAGATCAGAGGAATCTGCCAGGCTTGACAAAGTCTTCAGGTGTTGGCTGGCACCGAGCAGACGCTCACTGACCAAAGAGAAGTCAGACTGGAATCTGTGGGGAGGACGAGGAACGAGTGATAGATCAACCAGTGGGGCAGAACGTGACGGAACCATCAGAGGGAAGTTCAAACAGCGTCCAAAACTGACGGCGGTTTGTGGAGGAAGTGTCTGCAGCCCACCTGGTCCTGCTGTCCTGGAGGTCTCTGAGCCGTTTGATCTCTTTCTCCAGCTGCCTGTAGGAGCTTCTCCATCGCAGCTCCAGAGCGCCACCTGCCTGACTGACCGAGACGAGGAACCAAGGTTCTGCCTGCAGCAGCTCCCTCTGATCCAGGAACTCTCCCCGCAGGACTCTGCTCTGGTCCATCCGGAGGAGCGTCAGCTGTGTGACAGAACCACCGGCGTGAGGCGGAACCGAGCCGTGTGGCACGTGACAAAAATAAGAACGAAAGACAAAAACTCAGCTCGAACAAACATGAATTCTTCACACACACTAACTGCTACCGAGCTAACGGCTATAAAATAATCTCTGCAATCATCATGTTGAAACTTTTACACTTTTTAACACAAAATATGAATAAAAACATTAAAATTGGACACTTCTGCAGTTCAAATTTTGCTTTATTATCTGAACTGTTGGGTTTAACTACAGCAGGCATTTTAAAACTTCTGCGTCTTTGAGAATCAACTTTAACAAGATTTTAAAGAGTGACCTGTTAAATGTGCCAATCTATGGAGCACCGAATGTAAATAAAGTAATACAATAAAATCTTAACTGCTATATTTACCCCATTTAGCTTTATATAATAATTTTACCTGTTATTAATTAGAATGTAATCTAAATAAAGGTAGACCACATTTTCTTATTTAAATCTAATAACAGATTAGTTAAACCCAAATATTGAAACTGAAACCTGGAAATGAATAAAACCAAATTTTCAGGGTCAAAATTTCATTAAGTTATAACTAAATATTTAAAATCAAACTTGCAAAATGTGAAATTTTTATCTCTTGAATAAATTCTAAAAAATAAATATTTAAAAACTAATCAGAAAAAAAACTAAACATTTAGAATTAAATCTTAAAGGTAAACCTACATTTTTAAAATCAAACCTGGAAAAATGTTAATTTAAACATGTTGATTGAAATGTTTTTATTTTTTATTTTATTTTACATTTTTAGAAGCCTATCTGGAAAAGGTTATATCTAAATATGTAGAAACAAATCTAGATTAAGGTCAATTTAAATAAATAAATAAATAAACAAACAATTTTTTAAGTTGCAACATCAAGTATGGCAGTTTCAAGTAATTATTACAACATAATGATTTTACTTTATATATGTAAACTTGATTTAAAATATTTAAATGTATTTTTTACATTTGATTTGAAATACTTAGATTTTTCTTTAGATGTGATTTTAAATGTGTACATTTAGTCATTCACATTTACATTTAAATTTAAATATCTAGGTTTATCTTAACTGATATTTTAATATGATACCAAAGTTTAATATTAAAATCTTTGGGAACGCCTTGGGATTCCCCCAGAGGAGCTGGCTCAAGTGGCTGGGGAGAGGGAAGTCTGGCCCTCTCGCCTCAGGCTACTGCCCCCGCGACCCGACTCCGGATAAGCGAATGAAAATGGATGGATGGATGGATGGATGGATGGATGGAATCTTTGGAGGATAATATTTACGTTCTCTAAATGAATAAATGTGACTAAAACTTTCACACCTCAGTTTAACTTAACAGTTAAAACAACCATTTTCTGTTTGAATGTTTTTATTATTCGGCTTTAGTCACGAAATTCAAATACTAACTTTTCTGTCGGGTGATTTTTAAACAACAACAACAACATGACTAACCACCACGTTGCTCCTGAGGAGCCACTCGGCTTTCAATTACCCAGTTTTGTAAAAATTTGCCTCACCAAAACTTGTGTTTTGGGTTTTTGTTCTCTTTAGACCACAGTCTTAACAGGGGGAGTGAAACCATACCTCACAGGTATCCAGCCTGCACTGGACCGACTCTTCATCATCATCATCATCATCATCTCCCTCCGGCTCTCCTCTGCTAATAATGGTTTCAGACTCATCCAACACCCGACCCAGTCGAGCACAAAGACTCTCCCAGCAGATCCATTCCTGAAGCAACCACAAACCAGTGCATCTACTCATCATCTGATGATTCCGGTAAACCCCAGTACACTTGTGTTTTCTATGCTTAAACAAAAATTATGCACATAAACTTATTTGGCCTTCAGCAACCAAACATAACAAACCTGGATCCTCTTCTCAGAAGCCACTTCCTGCTCTAGAGCCTGCTGCTGCCGAGCTTTAGCCCGGACTTCCAGCTGCATCCATTCATCTTCTTGACCCTGGAGGCCATTGGGTTCATGTTGGAATAGATACTGAAGAAAAGCCAGCTGGGACCGGAGAACCTGCAGGAGTTTCTGCGGAACAGCAGAACTGATTTATTACAAAAGTTGAGCGGAAAGTAAATGCAGCAACAAGTTGTTTTCAAGGTTTAACTTCGAGCTTCATTAGGGAAGTTTTCCTAAAAGTCCGAGTACTAAAAGGTACCCAACATAAATCTGAAACCATAATGAGATACCTGGTGTCTGCAGAGAGCAGCTTGAAGTCTGCTGCGGTTGGGAACCGGGCCCATCCGTCTTTCTATTAAGCATTCATCGCCCAGCTGCAGAAGTCGAGCCATCCCCCGAAGCAACGACTGAGAGGCGTTTTGTAGCTGGAGTTTTTCCCCTGAACCGTTCCTCAGATGTCTGCTCAGAGCGTCCTGCAGAGGTCAACAGGAGCAGCACAGACGGGCGAGTTCGCTCAACGTTTCAAAGAAGGATCCTCCATGAGAAACAACTCTTCAGTGTCTACATATGTATTAGCTGTGCTTTCAGAGGTCCTGGAACATCAGAACGGGAACTAATAACATCCTGAGATTTCACCACTACGGGTGGGGGTGCAGGTGGGTATCTTCACACACACATCAGATCCCATCAGAGCACCTGGAGGCCGGGCGAAAACCTTCTGTTTTACTTTAGCCCACCAGAACCAGATCTTTGGGGTTCGGTGAGGTCTTTCCGGTGTGTGTGTGTGTGTGTGTGTGTGTGTGTGTGTGTGTGTGTGTGTGTGTGTGTGTGTGTGTGTGTGTGTGTGTGGTGGTTACCTCTAAACTAGGAGCGTTCTTCAGACTTAGGAAGAGGTCATTTGGTCCTGTTTCACACTGGTCCAGCAGAAGCAGCAGGTTGGAGGAAAGCTCCTAAAAGAACCCATGAAGAACATCAAGCTGTTGTTTATGAGATTAAGATAAAAAAAAAAGCTGCAAAAGTCTTCGGTTTCTGATCGTGTTTCAGCTGGTTTCAAACATCTGCTCCTATAATTTTAATGTTATCTGCTTTTTTTGTATGAAAGTTAAAAAAACAGTTATTGATACGATTTCTGTGGCAAACCAGAGAAATGGAAGAAAACAAAAAGGTGAAAACTGTCAAATCTATTTTAATTGGTTATTTGACATTTTCCTAACAAAACAACCTGAGATTTTTATTTCAGACTTCTGCTGATTCTTGTCACTCTCATCTTGCTATCTGATCAAATGTGGGCGGGGCTTCATGTTTCAACAACATATGTAAACACCGACATGCCATTCTTCATTTTTTAATATTATTTAATTTTACTGTCCGTATGAATTTATTATTTAGTTTCTTACTTTTGTCATTCATATTAGCTCTTTTATTTTCAAATTTTTACTCATTTTAATCCAGTGTTTTCTCTGTGGGGGCACTCTGCCCCGGGGCGGTGGTCGACTGTAGCTTCCTGGGCGCTCTACAGGTAGTGTTTGAGTTTAGGTGGGGGTCTATGCTCCCCTTCATCTGAGCGCCCTGACTTAGTGTGGAAGACCTGATGCTGCTGGGGCAGATGGCTCCTCTGATGGTGTTTCCTTGCCTTACCTTACTTGGCTCATCAGGACTCAGACAAATATAAATATTTACTGGTGTGTGTGTGCGTGTATGTGTGTGTGTGTTAATGTTTTTAAACTTATGGGAATTTGGGGTCATTTTAATTATGCAAAGCACTTTGCTTGAAAGCGCTTTATAAATAAAATCTGATTGGTTGATTGATCCTTCTATATTTTGCCATAATTTTAATAAAACAGTTTTCTGTAGAAACACTTTTATTATTATTCTTTTATTCCAGTCGTGTGCTGTGTTCGCACAGCAGCAGAAATCTGTATTTAAGTGTTAAATGGTATTTTCTGTGGGAGAACTCCGTTCATCTCCCACCTGATGTTGATTTTGTAGGCCTGGATGTTTGTGAGAGGACATTAGGACAAGCTGGACTGAATGAAGACAATCCTGCAGGCCGGTCAAACATCTGTGAGCATCTGGATCTTCTGTCAGATGCACAGGCCTGATCTCTGACTCCAGTTCACCCACCAGCTCGGTCAACGTCATCAACTGGGCTGACAGACACTGCACAAGAACAGAAACATAATAAAACTCTCCTCTCAAATCTAAAACGTCACATTACTCAGACGTTTTGGAAACAACCAGAGTTCTGGACTGGTTTATTTAAAGGTCACCTCCTGTTTGAGCAGCTTCAGGTGAGGATCGTCCTGATCTTCTCCACCATGAGCCGAGCTGGTAGAAGGGTCCAAAGAGAGGAGGACTCCCCATAAAGTCTCACACAAACCCTCCATGTCAGGATGTGAACCACCTGAACTCTTCACCTAGGAAGTAGACACCAGCACCATCAGTCATTAGTTTGAACTTTCTAATCAGACAAGCAGGCGTTAGAGAAATCACTATTCTAGTTCTAGCTTGTTGGATCCTGGCGTCTTGAGGCAAACATGCAGATGAGACGCTGACTTCTCAGAAGAGCTCGGTGCCTGCAGCTCAAATCAGAGGAATGAAGTAGAGGATGAAAGAACTGGATTGGAAGTCTAAAGGTGTTAAAAGCTTCCTCCAGTCCAGCTGAAGCTCCACACACCTGAGAGGACAAGAAGCTGCTCGTGTGTCTTCTGACTAAATCCAGATCTGGGAGATTATCCAGGTTAGGAACGGTTTCCTTCATGTAATCCATTCCAAGCTTGTTAAATGTGACTGAAAAAGGGTTACAGGTAGAGTTTGCATGCTATAATTCAGGCACGTCCAAATTGGGGTCCGGGGGCTATTTGTGGCACCCTGGTTGCGTTTCTATACCGGTGGAACTTTGTCTCCAGCAGTCTTCATATGTAGATAGAGCCGTTTTAACATTTTTATGTCTATTTTAGACTTTTTTTTCAAAAGCAGAACAAATAAACCAAAAATCACCATAAATTATTTAAAATAAAACATATCACATTTTGTGGCCCATGACACCTCCCACAACTTTAAGTTATTTAACTTTAAGCTAGATCTTTAACGTGGATCTCAGTGATTGTTGAGTTAGAAGCTTGACCAGTTTCAAATCTGACACCACTCTGCTGCCCTCTGCTGGCCAAAAACCGCACATGACTGTTTAGTGGAGAGAGTAGGTGACCTGGGGATGCTATTTACCTGCTTTACGGCTGTTAGCTGTAATGCTAGTGGTTAGCTTGTCCAGTTTGCTGATCATCAATAAAAACCACAAGAAGAAAAGAAAGAAGTTTACTTTTCTGTTGGCATCGTGACGGTGAAGCAAAGAGCTAAAACCAGAGTGAACATCGGCACAGCCTAAGCTAGTCTGAAGGAGCTAAAGGAGGCTACAGAATCACGGACTGTTATGGGCCATTCCCATCTGTACCGGGTCGGCCCGGGCCAGGTAGCCCCAGTCGGCCCCAGCCTGGCCCGGTTGATTCCCCACATCCTTGTCTTAAGCCCATGTGGGCTGATTCTACCCACCAATCAGAGGCTTGCTCTAATGGAAGGTGTGAGTTTGCTGTCAGCAGTGGGTGTGTTGGCCCTGGTCGGCCTGAAGCAGACCCCCTCGAGAAGAGGGCTGAGAACGAGCCTTGGTTGGCCCGGGAAAATACCAGGCCACCCAGATATGTAAACAACCTACGCTACCCGGCCCGGGCCGACCCGGTACAGATGGGAATGGCCCAATAGTGACCTGGCTTTGTTGTTACGGCTCTGTGTTGTTTCACAACTTCTTACTCCTCCAAATTTTATATATTTAAATCATCTTTTAATCTTTTATCTATTTTTTTGTTTTAAGTTTTTCTTCTTGTGAAGCGCCTCATGATGTTTATCTTGACAGGAGCTGTATAAAAGATAATTTCTTCTTCTACTGGACTTGTAAGTATTTATAATACTTTTGTCCAACAGTGTGGATCTTTTTACTTTGTGGTTTATTTTAGTAGTAGTTGGTTCATGGTGGCGTTAGCTCGTTGTTAGTGCTAGCTACAGCAGACTGCAGCAGGGGCCCTATCCCAATACTTGCACTTCCAAACTTGCACCCTTTAATTACACAATCCCAACCAGGGTTGATAGTAGTTGATCACGCCCCTTTTTCACCTTCGATCCGCACTTCACCCAAGTCTGCATCGACGCGGACTTGGGTGAAGGGAATAACCCACAATCCATTGCTACGAGAGAAAAAGCTTAAGGGCCTTTTCTGAAAATATGTATTTTCTAATGAAAGTAGTTCATTTTAGGACGACTAGTTTAGGCTCTGAAACTTTTAGGCAAAGCAGCGATGAATGAAAATTTGTTTACATTTATTATTTGTTTTTTTGTTTGAAAGTTGTTAGTAAAGGTTTTTTTTTAAAAAGTATCACAGCAAACGGCATCCTGGCATGCGTTGCGGTCTTTACACAATACTCCCCGTCTCAATTCGACAATTATTTACACACTTGAGTACCACGCACTCGAAGCCTTACTACACTTTCTCCAAGTTTTCCCGAGTATTGGGACTGGGCCAGGGTTGTTTCAGACAGACAGTTGTATTTCCACTTTCAACCAGTAGGGTGGAGCAGCAGGAAAGTGCTCTGTGGTCATTTAAATCCCAGTTTTTAGGCTCAAAGAGAAGTACCCCCCCCCCCCCCCATACCATTTGTCTTAGCATCATAATGGATTCTTCGACTTGCTGCAGAATTCCAGAAGCAGAACCCGCCGACATCAGCAGCTTCTTTTCTTCAACCTGAGCAAAAACAGAAAAACAAACCTCTTCATTCAGTTCATCCATCCTGTTATTTATAGTAGTTTGATCAAATGTTGCCATGGTGATGTTACGGATTAATGTTTTGAGCCTTAGAAGTAATTTTCTTCAACAGAAATGTATTTTTCCTGCTTATTTTCCGACCTTTTCATCGTTTCCTGCATCTTCCTGCTGCTCCTCCAGAACGCCTCTCAAAGCGTTCAGTTTCTGTGCGACCAGGACATGAAGTCGACGCCAACGTTGGCTCTTTGTGTCGTCGTCTTCGTGCTCGGCGGAGCTACAAAACACACGTGTGTGAGGAAATCAGAGCGATAACTACAAGTGTTACTCCTCTGTCCATCAGTTACCTGGTTGCAGCTCCAGGAAGCTTCACAGACCCTTCCAGCTGACAGGAGGCATTCTGAAAGTTAGATTGTGGAAAAATAAACGGACTGTGGTTTAAACAAATGTTAAATGAATGCAAAAAAAAAGTCTCTAAAATGAACACTTCATCCTCACCAGATATGAAAGAGGAATCTCCTCTTCTGGGAGCTCATCTGAAGCTTCTGCAACAGAGAAAGGAGTTCTAGGTCTTGGAGGCATCAGCCTCATCTCCTCCAGCAAAGGGAACTTTAAGGCCGTGTTGACCGTTTCCTGCTTTGGAGACTTGTGCAGGTCAGGAGCAGCAGCAGCTTTAAGCTGCACGTCTGTCGCTGTTCCAGGACTAAAGGTGTGGCGATTATCTTCTTCTGAGTCCATTTTGAATAATTCAGTTTCATTAGATTTAGATCCAAAGTTGTGATCTGACTCTACAGATGTGGTGGACTCTGGCTCTTCTCCCAAAGATAACTCGTGACTTTCTGGCTTCTGAAAGGACAAATTAAATACA